GCAGTGGGTTGCCATGGGCTACTGTGTGTAGCCAGCAGCCAGCGTGAGCGGCCAGCAGCCACAGTGAGCGGCCGTCCAGAAGCCGGCGACTGACCTGCCTCACCCGGGAAGAGCGCAGTGATGGTGCCAACTTGGGCCAGTGAAGCAACGTCCCCCACAACTAGATTGAAGAACAAAACGACAGCAACTTGTCTGTTCCCTTTCCCCCAATTCCCCAGCACTGTTCCCATCCCCCAATTCCCCAATAAAAATCTTCAAGAAAAAAAAAAAAAGTTGTGATACCCAATATATACCGATAACAAAAGATGACTACACGTCATGTGTGACTTCTGCAATTACAAGAGGTGCTCAAAGCGGTTACCATCAGCATCCAGACACTTCTGATTAGGTGAACTATTGCTTGAGCAACGCTGACCAAAGTGTCCACTTGTATACATTTTTTTTTGGCACCCCTGGTATTTATTTGAGAGACATCTAGAGCTAGTTAAAACCTAATCTAAAATTAATTGAGATTAAACTGGAGTGGGAAGAGTGTAGGGGAGCTCTGTTTACAAAACACATCAGCGTATTAGGTAGTTGTGAGACACTTTGAAAATGTGATGTGGGTTATCATTGCTGTGTTGTCTTGCTTTCAAGGATGGCGCAAAAGAAATATCTCCAAGCAAAACTGACCCAGTTTTTAAGGGAAGACAGAATTCAACTTTGGAAACCTCCATATACAGATGAAAATAAAGACGACAGTTTGGCATTGAAGGTATTTTTCTTTTAAGACATAGTAATTAGCAGTGTTATGTCTCCTTGGTGTCGACATAAGAATGTCCAAACCTGTAGAAATGTTTTCTGTTTTTCTTTTTTTCCCCTCCAGTGGAGTTGATCAGTTTGCAATTCCTTAATTTTTTATATATCGCAGTCACATAAGTGATAGCCCACCTTTCTTTCCCTCCTGGAATAATCCCAGTTATTTTCACGTTTTCTGTTGGGTTTGTTTTCCTATCCTTTATTTTCCCCTGGATCCTCTCTAACCTCTACACCTATTTAAGATGTCAAGCCAGTCTGGATTTCACTGTAATGGGGTGACCACCCCTCATCAGTTTTTGCCTTCGAGTCCTGAATGTGCTGTGCTGTGTTTGCCACCCCCAACTTTTTTTGAGTTGGCACCACAGTGGTCAGTGTTTTCTGATATTTCTTCATAGGACCTTGCCAAGAAGTACTCTGACAAGCTAGAATGTTGTGAAAATGAAGTAGAAAAGATAATGGAAGAAATACGTTGCAAAGCAATCGAGCGTGGCACAGGAAATGAAAATTATAAGACAACAGGAATTGCCACGATTGAGGTGTTTTTACCTCCACAGCGACGAAAAGTGAGTAATTTTCTCACATTTACATAGGTACCGATGCTTAACTTAGTGATGTGATCGAATAAATTATGATTTAAAAAAAAATTTTTTTTTTAAGCTACAGCCTAAAGTTCCTTTCTTTGTCTTATTTTTGAATAGGATAAGAAAGCCCTCTTGAAGACCCAGTTGCACATTACTGGCAAAGAACTGAGGTCTAAGTAAGTACCTGTGTGCTCGGTGCCACTGGCCCTGTTACGTCGGCTCATTGGATCCTGTGGCCAGCCTTGCGGAGAGACAGGGCAGGCGTTATTCTCCTCACTTTGGGGCAGGGAAAAGAGAGGCTTTGAGGCTGCAGGACTTACTCAGGCTCACACTGGGGTTAAGGGCAAATGAAAACTCAAGACTTGCCCCACACTTGTTCCTGTCCTGGCACAACTCGAGTCATCGTCACAAATGACCATTTTGCAATCAGTACCAGGGATTTAGAATTTTTGGTGGGAACTCAGGGTCCACCATCTAACAGGTACTTGATACACGTTGAATCAATGAATTAATGGTAGAAATAGGAGACAGCTTGGTGTTCAGCAGATCGTTAGCTTTGAACTTGATTCCTTAGTGCATTAACAGCTTGCTGGGGTGTTCGGCCTGTTTTAGCTGATTTCATGCAGCTGGTCAATCTGTAAAAAGAAAAAAGACTTGCCTGTCACATACTAGTGAAACTCTAACTTTTGAGTCCTGGTCGGTTATTCCATCCATTGGTATATTTTTGAATGGTAAGTGTTTTGAGCACCTCCAGGGCTAGCCAAGCCCGTGTTTCTGAAGCTGATTATTCTCATTTTCTTCTTTGGTCTACATCAGGGCTGTTAGGGATGGGTTCAGGAGGCATCCTTCATTCTACACACATGAGCAGAAGAGTGTGTGACACAGCCCCCTATTACAGGCTCCTCCATGGAGACCGCGGAAGGTATAAAGGATGGATTTTCTCCTGACGTGCAGCTAGGGCTCATCTGTTCAGATGGGCATGCCACACAAGTGGTCTCCACGTGATGAGGCAACAAGTAGTAGAAGAGTTAGTTTTAAAAGGAACATTGTCTCTTGCACGCTTTCAAATAATCATCTCGTAGCTGGCTTTATCGTGAAGTGACGTTTGTAAATTGAAATACTGGGTATTTCTGATTAAAATGTATAAAATAGCTATCATGATTAAAATCTATTTAGTGAAAAGTAACAAATTTGATTACCTACAGTTTTCACTGGTTTATTTTACAGAATAGCTGAAACCTTTGGATTTCAAGAAAATTATATCAAAGTTTTCATAAACAAGAAACAACTTCAACTAGGTATGTTATGGGAAACTATGCAGCATTTTAAAATCAAGAAATAATGACTTTACATCTTTTTTTCTCACTCTTTCTCTAATCACAAATTTCTAGTGATTTTATTGCATGTGTAACCCAAAACCAATGATTTCTGAGTTTACTAAAATAAAAGCATAAAGCAGAAAAACTCTTCTAATAAATATTTCTCTGTTCTGTGCTAGTAGGGAAGAAAGACACGATCAGTCTGATAAAATGTTACAGAACGGAAGTGTAGGTGTGCTGCGAGTAAGATTGGGGTTCCAGTCCATTTTCCCCGAGGGAGACGAGCTAAAACTGCGTGAGGGCGGGGGAGGGCTGTGGTGCGGAGCGTTCCAGACAGCCTCATGTTGGAGCCCGTGATGTGAATTTGAGGAACTGAGAAAGGTGTAGTGTGGCTGAGTGTGGACGGTGAGGGGAGGGTAGCACTGTTGAGGGACAAGAGCCAGGCAGAGGTCGCACTGAAGGTTATAGCAGTGGTTCTCACCAGGAGTGATCTTGCCGCCCAGGGGACATTTGGCAATGTCTAGAGACATTTTTGGTGGTCATGACTTGGAGGAGGTTGTGCTGTTGTCCCTTAGCTGGTTAGAAGCCCAGGGATGCTTCTGGACATCATACAAGGCACAGAGCAGCCTCCACAACAAAGACTCAAGCAGTCCAGGATGTCAGCCGTGCTGCTGTTGAGAAACCCTGGACTCTGAGCCGTGTTCAGTGTTAGAGTGTTTCTCCTAAGAGAACTGGGAAGCCATTGATACCAGGGAGTGACACATGCTAGACCTGTGTTTAAAGATCACTTTGGCTGCAGGAGGGCATGGATTTGAAGGAAGTGGAGTGGACTTGGGAGACCAGTTGCTTCTGGCAGCAGTTTAGGCACTGTCGTCTGATGGGTGTCCAGTGGGTTCCTGTGGCCAAGAGAATCAAGTTCACATGCGAGCTTGATGTAATGCCACCTTCACAGCCTAGCCCTCGCCTTCCTTTCCAGCATCACCTCTAGCCATTTCTTATTGTCTATTTTAGATGTCATAGGTAGCCTTTCACTGTCTTTTCATCTCTCAGTTAATCCTGATTGTGGTAGCCTTCATTAGGCAGAAATCCTTGATCTTGTTATCAAATCCATCAGTTTTCATCTTCCTGTGTGTGTTTTAAGAAGTTCTTTCCCTAACAGGGAGTCTTCTGTGTTTTCTGGTATTAGCTTCATCTGTATGAAGTCTTTAATCTGTCCATAGTCCCCCTTTATATATAAAGGCTAAGGATCCAGCTTTATTGTTCTTCGGATACCTCTGCTAGCTCTTACCACACTGATATTTCGTGTCCCCTTTATGTATATATTATTTCCATTTACATGTAGGTTTATTCCTGGGCCAGAACCATAAAGTTTTTTTTTAATTGAGATATAATTGACATATAACATACTAGTTTCAGGCATACAACATCATGATTTGATATTTACATATATTGTGAAGTGATCACCACAATAACAGTAGTTAACATAGTTACACAATTTTTTTTCTTGTGATGAGAACTTTTAAGATTTATTCTCTTAGCAACTTTCGAATATACATTGTAGCGAGTATTGTTAACCATGGTCATTATGCTGTGCATCACGTATTTTGTCTTAGAACTGGAAGGTTGTGCCTTTTGACCATCTTCATCAGTAGCTTATTACCATGGTTTTGTTGTAGTTTTAAAATCTAGTAAGATGAGCCCCCCCCCCCCCCCTTGGCTCATATCTATTAAGGTGACTTGGCCATCAGTGGATCTTTATTTTTCTATCTGAATGTTAGAATGGTTGTCAAGTTTCTAAAAAAAAAACAACAACTAGCGTTCTCTTGAAACGTGTTCAAATTTATGTATAGTTGATAATATTTTATTATTTTAAAATCTGTTGGCATCCGTATATACCCTTTTTCATTTTGGTGCTGGCTTATTTGAATCTTTGACTTAATTTCTGTTACGTTTGTATATTTGATTAATGTTTTTCATGGAGCCAGCTTTTGATTTTGTTAATACTCTCTTTCATTTTTCACTGATTTCTGCCCTTATCTTCATTCCCATGTTATATATGAGGAAACTGGATACTAGAAGATAAGTGCTTTCCTCAGGGCCCCCGAGTTACAAAAGGGTAGAAGCCAAGGGCTCTGCCCTTACCCGCCGCAGCACATGAGCTCTCCCAGTGCCCCGTGCACTGGGCTGCTCGCCCAGGGCTGTCAATTGGGTTTATTATTTCTCCACCTAGAGGGGAGGAAAACTCACATATTACGCTTCCTTGTTTTCCTCTTACCTTACCTAGCACAGTGCTTTCTCTATAGCAGGTTCTCAAATATTTATTGCTTCGATTTGACCTTATGATGAGAATAAAGAAAATTGGAAAGGATGGATTTAGTCAGCTCTATTTCCTCTGGCTGATTTTATCCACTGCTTAACAGTAACAGTTGCACAAGCAGATGTAAGTGTATATTCGTGTGGCATGGTGGTTTGCAAGTGCTAATGCGGGTTTAAGAATTCCATTTAACATCGAGAATGGCCTATTACCAGTACGTTTAATGGCTCGCTTTATAGCACACATTTCTGATTTTTCCAGGGAAGTCACTTGAGGAACAAGGAGTGACACACAATGTGAAAGCGATGGTGCTGGAACTAAAACAGTCTGAAGAGGATGCGAGAAGGAACTTCCAGGTTGAAGAAGAAGAGCAAAATGAAGCCAAACTGGAAGAAAAAACAATTCAGAGGACTAAGAGGGGACTCGAGATACTAGCAGAGAGAGGTACACGGAGCTTTTGGCTGTTCACCTCCCTCAAGTACTTCAAGGTGGCAGCAAATTACCCCACGGTGGGGTCTCACCCATGGAAGGGGTCTCACCCATGGTGGGGATATCACGTTTCTCATTGGCTTTTCTTCCCAACAGTCTAACATTTGAGATGTCACTGTCACTGCTTTTTAACATTGAATTAATGGAGTTCCTTTCGGTCTTGTTGCAGCTGAGATGGTAGTAGACCCAGAAACCACACCATACTTAGACATAGCTAACCAGACAGGCAGATCAATCAAAATTCCTCCATCAGAAAAAAAGGTAAGCACTATAAGAAATTTATGGCTTGTTCTTTGATTTGCTGTCAGAAGAGAGGTGGTTTTCTAGCTAGTCTGTCTTGGAATGTTGCAAAGGATTAGAAACAGTTTTCTGTCTGCAGCTCATACACAGAGAATGTAACCATACGGTGAGCAGTTGTGTACAGAGGGCTCACCCTGTGATTTCAAGGCAGTAGTACAAAATGGCGTGGCCTCACTGTCCTGTGGCAGTGACTTTGGACATCCCTGAGTGGTGTGACACACTGCTTTCAGCATGAGTGGTTTCCTGTGGCAGTGGTTTTTTGGTGTGGGCCATGTCTCTCAAGGGATGAATCATACTGGGGGCTGGGGAAAGTATGACAGGTGATTTGCTCTCTCTCCCTGGTCTCCCCATCCCCCTTTCCCTGTTCTAGAATCTGGAGTAGGTGGGAGGCGGTTTTACCTAGGAACACGTCCACAGGGTCTTTAGAGCAGCACTCTGCAACTTGGACCCTGAGATCAATCTCCAAGCTGGAGTCCAGTAGCTTCTTTAAATGAAAAGTTCTTGTGACTGCGGGTCAAGTTAATTTTAATTTTTCTGTCTTTAAAGGACAATTGAGTAGGTTTCACTATATACTATGAAAATTAAGGATTAAAGTTAATAAGATAACTTTGTAACTATCAGTGGATTGATATTATTTACCTTTTAATGTTGGAATTATTTGCCCATGCTCTCTTTTATATTAAATGATGGCATCCAGATCTTTTTGGAAAAGCTTTACACGATTGAATTATACAAAAAAATCAAATCTAAACATATTAATGAACTTAAAAAATTTTTGGATAACCTTTAAAAATTGTTTTGGAAATACTAGGGTTGACAGATACTTCAAAAGAAACTTGATTAAGAATAGAAAGTAAAATGAATGCTCCTTTTAAAAAGGATATAGAGGGCCGGCCGAGTGGCTCAGTTGGTTAAGAGCTCGCTCAAGAGTTTGAGCTCTGAGCAACAGTGGTTCGAGTCAGCCCGAGCTGAGCAGCCGCGGAGCTGCCAACAGGTGGCGGGATGGCTCAGCTAAAAAAAAAAATAAAAAAAAAAAAAAAAAGGATATAGAGATTATTGCTGCTTCTTTATGTTTCATCTTTGAGAAAACTAGAAATCGATCTAGGTCAGCACATGCTAAAATAAACTGATGGCAACGAAGGGACAGGTGCTGGTTGTCACCAATCAGCCACATTAATTGAGTGCTTGCTTTCAGTGTTTAAATGAAAGAAAGCTTTAATTTTATTTTTCTTAATTTTAGCTTTTAAGTTTAGTTGTGATCTTTTTTTTTTAACTTTGATTTTTTTAGGCTTAGTATGCTTTTAATATAATTTGTTTTATTGTACTTCAAAGTGATTAAAAAAAATTTTTTCCCCCCTCCTTAGGCCCTCATGTTAGCTATGGGATATCATGAGAAGGGCAGAGCTTTCCTGAAAAGAAAAAAGTATGAACTAGCCTTGCCATGCCTGCTGGATGCTGACAAATATTTCTGGTAGGCACTTTTGTACTTGGTGAACACCAGTTTTAAGGAAGATGGCTCCAAATTATACACAGTACTCTCCCAACCTCCGTATACCTCAGACTTCAGGCTTTCACCCAGTGTGGAAGAGTACTTAGGTGTAGACCAATTTGTAAATTATTTCTTTCCTTCGTATTTCTAATTGATCTCTCTTCCCTGTAAACATATATATTGGGCTGTCAGAAAAGTCATGATGCATTTTTGCAATGAAAAACAGAAAAAACACGTCATGACTTTTCCGACAACCCAATACTTTTATTTCTTTATGACAAGCATTAGGCTATCGCATTTTCGTGAGGTGTTGTCAGCCTGAACTATCCATTATACAGTGTCCCGTCCCCCACCCACTTTTCACCTCATGGTATTGGCGTCAATGTCGATGATCACTCCCCAAATCTGTTGTTTTATGGGGGCTGCAAAAATGGTGTGATACCTTATTATCCCCTCTGCATTTATTGATAGAATTCTTCTAAAAAGAAATATTTTTCCTCATTAGCTATTTAGTTATGCTAAGGTATAATTTGTACCGAAAGATGGAATGAAATGCTTGGTTCTTTCGCCTTATCTTTTATTTTCAGAATAAATGAGTTGTTTCCCTAGCATCCTCCAAAGATGACATTACCAGTGAGGTTCCTTTCCTTTTTTTTTTAAGTGTCAATATATGAACTCATGGATTTTAACACATTAGATGTGTTTGAAACCTCAGTGCTTAAGTTGACCACCTTTGGCCAGTGGGCAGGTCCTGTGTCCTTTTGACCTGATCCTGGTAATCGCTGGTCTCCACTGCCCAGTGTTTCAGTCTCATTGTGGGCATTTCCTGCCCTGGACCAGGAGTCAGCAGCTTCCCAAGGACTCCTGGTTCCTTGTAATGGGAAATGGTACCGAGGGACTGCAATTCAGGCCGATGAGGCATTGATGTTTGAAATAGGTCAAAAGGTACCATCTTTAGTATTATTTTCTTTTCCATTTTGATGAATTCCCAAGACACACTGTGCACTTGAAGAAGATAAATATAGATGTGTATAGTTTGCCAACTGTATTGGCAGCACCCTTGGGTTTTAAGTGAACAAATCCCAAGTGAAGTAAAAAAGGGGATTTATTATCTCAAATATTTGGGAGGAGGGGGCAAAGCTAGAAGTAACTAGAATAAGGGTGTGGTGCCTCTGGGGTTTTCTTATTCTGCCTCTGTCGCTGTTTCTGAGTGTCCGTGTTCTTCTCTTTCACTGCAGATAGTATAAGGTTAGGTCCTTAAAATTCAGGTAAATAAGTTTTTCATTTCCTTCCATAATGGTTTCTAACTTTTTATTAGGGAAAATTTCAAACATATAAAATATATAAAGTGAGTATGTGTGTATATATATATGAGTGTGATTATACACACATACACACTCACTCACAGAGGGTGTCAAAAAAATGTATACACATTTTAAGAAAGGAAAAAACTATGCTAATGATGGTAACCACTTAACCTCCTGTAACTGTAGAAGTCAAATGTGACTTATATTCATCTTTTGTTATCACTATATATTGAGTATTACAATTTTAATACATTTTTGGACTGGAAAAAGAACAGCAAAATAAGCCCAAAGGGAGTACAAGGAAGAAAGTAATAAAGATCAGAGTGGAAATAAACGAAATAAAGACCAAAAAAACAATACAAAAGATCAATGAAACTAAGAGCTGGTTTCATGAAGAGATAAACAGAATTGACAAACCTTTAGCCACACTCTTCAAAAAAAAGAGAGAGAAGACCCAAATTAATAAAATCAGAAATGAAAGAGAAGTGACAATAGACACTGCATAAATACAAAAAAATTTGAGAAAATACTACGAGCAACTATATACCAACAAATTAGACAATCTGGAAGAAATGGATAATTTTCTAGAAGCATACAACCTTCCAAACCTAACTCAAGAAGAAAAAGAAAATCTGAATAGACTGTTTACTACCAGTGAAATTGAATCAATAATCAGCAAGCTCCCAACAAACAAAAGCCCTGGACCAGATTGGCTTCTTCACAAGTGAATTTTACCAAACATTCAAAAAAGAATTATCACCTATTCTCCTCAAACTATTCCAAAAAAATCCAGAAAGAGGGAAGGCTCCCAAATTTTTTATGAGGGAACTATCACCCTGATCCCAGAATCAGACAAAGACATTACAAAAAAAGAAAACTACAGGCTGATATCCCTAATGGACATAGATGCAAAAATCCCCAACAAAAGATTAGCAAACAGAAATCAGCAATACATTAAAAAGATCATACAACGATCAAGTGGATTCATTCCTGATACACAAGGTTGGTTCAATATCTGCAAATCAATTCATGTGATACATCACATCAACAAAATGAAAACTAAAAATCATATGGTCATATCAATAGATGCAGAAAAAGCATTTGACAAAACCCAGCAGCCATTTATGATAAAAACTCTTAGCAAAGTGGTAATAGAGGGATCATATCTCAACATAATAAAGGCCATTTATGATAAACCCACAGCTAACATCATACTCGATAGGGAGAAGCTAAAAGCTTAAGATCAGGAACAAGACAAGGCTGCCCACTTTCTCCACTTTTATTCAACATAGTTCTGGAAGTTCTAGTCCCATCAATCAGACAAGAAAAAGAAATAAAAGGCATCCAAATTGGTAAGGAGGAAGTAAAATTGTCATTATATGCAGATGACATACTATATATAGAGAACCCCAAAGACTACCAAAAAATTATTAGAACTGATAATGAAGTTAGTAAAGTAGCAGGATTCAAAATTAATATTCAGAAATCAGTTGCATTTGTATACACCAATAATCAGAAGGATAAATTAAGAAAATAGTTCCAGGAGTGGCCAGTTAGTTCAGGTGGTTAGAGCGCAGGCTCATAACACCAAGGTTGCCAGTTCGATCCCCGCATGGGCCACGGAGCTGCGCCCTCCACAACTAGACTGAAACAACTGCTTGACTTGGAGCTGATGGGTCCTGGAAAAACACACTGTTCCCCAATAAAATTAAAAAACAACAACAACAAAAAACAGTCCCATTTACAATTGCTTCAAAAACTATAAAAGACTTAGGAATAAATTTAACCAAAGAAGTAAAAGATTGTACTCAGAAAATTATAAGACACTGAAGAGAGAAATTAAAGAAGATACAAATAAACGGAAACACATACATGTTCATAGATAGGAAGAATTAATATAGTTAAAATGTCCACACTGCCTAAGGCAATATACAGATTCAATGCAATTCCTATCAAACTACCAAGGACATTTTTCTCAGGAATAGAACATATAATCCTAAAATTTATATGGAACTGTAAAAGACCCCGAATAGCCACGGCAATCTTGAGGAATAAGAAGAAAGTGAGAGGTATCACGATATCTGGCATCAAATCGTATGACAAGGCTATAGTAATCAAAACAGCATGGTACTGGCATAAAAATAGACCCATAGATCAATGGAACAGAATAGAGAGCCCAGAAATAAATCCATACTTATATGGTCATTTAATCTACAACAATGGAAGCGAGAATTTACACTGAGATAAAGACAGTCTATTCAATAAATGGTGCTGGGAAATCTAGACAGACACATGCAAAAAACTGAAGCTGTACCCCCTCCTTATGCCATATACAAGAGTAAATTCAAAATGGATTACAGACTTAAATGTAAGATCTGAAACCATAAAATTCTTAGAAGAAAATATAGGAAGTAAATTTGCAGACATTACCCTTTTACTAATATATCCCTTTGGACAAGGGAAGTAAAAGAAAAAGTAAACATGGGATTACATCAAACTAAAAAGTTTTTCCACAGCAAAGGAAACCATCAATAAAACAAAAAGGCAGCCTACTGAATGGGAGAAGATATTTATCAATGATACATCTGATAAGGGGTTAATACCCAAAATTTAAGACTTATTCAATTCAACACCAAAAACACAAACAACCCAATTAAAAAATAGGCAGAGGACATGAAGAGACATTTCTCTAAAGAGGACATACAGATGGCTAACTGTCATATGAAAAAGTGCTCAACCTCACTAATCATTAGAGAAATGCCAATAAAAACCACAATGAGATACCACCTCACTCCGGTCAGAATGGCTATCATCAACAAATCAACAAACAACAAGTGCTGGCGAAGTTGTGGAGAAAAGGAAACCCTGGTGCACTGTTGGTGGGACTGCAGACTGGTGCAGCCATTATGGAAATCAGTATGGAGGTATCTCAAAAAACTGGAAATGGAACTATCGTATGACCCAGCAATTCCACTCTTGGGTATCTATCCAGAGACATCCAAAATGCCAATTTGAAAAAATACGTTTATTGCAGTGCTATTCACAATAGCCAAGACATGGAAACAACCAAAATGCCCAACGGTAGACGACTGGATTAAGAAACTGGTACATTTATCCAATGGGGTATTACTTGGCCGTAAGGAAGAATGAAATCTTACCATTTGCAACAATATGGATGGACCTAGAGAACATTATGCTAAGTGAAATAAGTCAGTCAGAGAAAGACAAATACCATATGATCTCACTTATACGTGGAATCTAAAGAATAGAACAAATGAGCAAACTAATCAGACACAGTCTCAGAGACATAGAGAAAAAACTGAGGGTTGCTTGATGGGAGGGGGGTGGGGATGAGGGAGAAGGTGAGGGGATTAGAAAGCACAAATTGGTAACCACAAGATTGCCACGGGGATACGAAAGACAGTTTGGGGAATATAATTAATGTTGTAAATATTTTGTAGGGTATCCGATGGATACTTGTCTTATTAGGGAAACCACTTCATGGACAGTGTAGATGCCTGACCACTTCACTGTACACCTGAAGCTGAATAGTAATGAATGTCAACTATAATTTAATATATATATATATATCTAGTCACAGGATGTGGAGCACAGCACAGGGATTAGAGTCAGTGGAATTGTTGCAGCTATATACGATGTCAGAGCTGTAGTAGATTGGGGGATGGGGGTTACCATTTTGTGAGGAGTGTAAATATCTGACTATTAACATTGTTTTGTACACCTGAAGCTAATGAAAAATAAATAAAATAAAACGAGAAATCGGAGTTCTGCTGTTGGCCAAGATGAAATAATGGGCTAGATTTACCCTTTCACCTGAAACAACTGAAAAACTGGGCAAAATGTATGAAAACATTGTTTTTCTGGCAATGCAGGACAGTGATCCCCGAGGTGGGGAAACAAACGAGGGAACCCTGTGATAGTTCCAGCTCACTTCCCGGCTGCCTGCCCTGCCCTGCAGGGAGGACAAGCCCTGCACACCTCCCTCAGTTGAGATGGAGCTGGGAACCCAGGGAGGCCAAACTCGTTCCCAGCATAGCGGGGGTCGGGGGGTGTGAAGCTGCTATTCCTGAGTCCTAACTTCTCTTTTTCCCATCGGAAGGATTCAGATTATAAATATAGCTCCCTTCATAAACATTGGGATTTCTGTTTTAGAGCACTCCGTCTGTGGAAGTACTCCCAAAAACTAGAGAACAGTTCCAGTAATTCACAAATAAGTTTTTGGCGATTTTTCAGTGATGCCGTTTCCTTTTTGTTTCCTAGTGAGTGTGGCACAGAGCTACTGGACACAGTGGATAACTATGCGGTGCTCCAGCTGGACATAGTATGGTGTTACTTCCACTTGGGACAACTGGAATGCCTTGACGATGCAGAAAAAAAATTAAACTTGGCCCAGAAATGCTTTAAAAACTGTTATGGAGAAAACCATCAGAGACTGGTCCACATAAAGGTATGTTACTGTAATTTGTTTTAGGCGTTACTGAACCCCCCTCTAGAATTTGAGTTCATCCCTGTTATTTAGACTGTTGCCAAAGAGTGATTTATTTTGACAGTCATATGCAGTGTGCTCTTTGTAAGCTGTATTTTTAACAGGATTGTTAAGTGTTTCACGAATCTGGCTGTTACTTTGGTCTGTGCAATGTTCAGCCCCGAGGAACAGTTACCTGGTCTAGATCCCCACTGGTCACCCTGCATGAGAGGGCAGGTGACTCTGTTCAGGGTCCAACGGAAGGTGTAAAGGCAGAAAAGAATCACTTTGAAGAGTAACAGTTCACATGAGTGAGTTCAAGTGTGGTGATTTGTACATGTCATCAGAATTCTGCTTGAAAATGACAGGGCAGCGTAAGATATTCCTGGCTTGGGTTTCTGCACACTTCCCTACTAACCAGAAGGGCCTGGGTGTCTGGTGACAAGGGATGACATTGTCTTCTGGGGTCTTCACTTTTACCATCAGCAGTAGGAAAGATATAAATGTTTTAGTAATGCCATTTTGCCCCTCTGGAGACAAAGGGAATTACAAATGTGAGTATTATTGACCTGTAATTAGAAATAACAGTTTTATCCTTTTTTCCCCAATAATTTTAGGGAAATTGTGGGAAAGAGAAGGTATTGTTTTTAAGACTTTACTTGCTTCAAGGTATCCGAAGTTATCACAGTGGAAATGGTGAAGAGGCTTGTGAGTATCTCAACAAGGTAAGAAAGTGAACACACAGAGTTGTAACCATTTTCACTTTTTTTTTAATCGCCAGAAGCATTTCGTAAACTCAGTAGTTTGTAGTTTGTGACTTGAGGGGAACATGCATCTATCTCCCATCTCCTCTCCCTCACATACACATGAATGCATTTGTATTTGCTAGGGGAGAGGCCATAAGGGAACCTCAAAAAGATGTGACTTGAACTGGCTAGAAGCCTCCATGTCTCTCATCTAGCCGTGTAGAGGTGAGCACACCAGGGCAGTGCTGGTTTGGCGTCTAAGGTTACTCCTGGAAGTGTCCCTTCTAGCCAGCAGAGGGGACAAGAGTCCAGGATGAGCCTCTCTAGAGAGATGACCAGAATTTGCTCCCCTCAGTTCTCCTACATGCCACTGGCTGCATGGGAGGGTGAGAAATTTAGGGGATTTATTACAAGGAGGAAATAATGGTACCAGCCCTCTCACATCTCTCAGTCTGTTTTCTCATGTTCTGTGACGTGTGAGTCGTGAGCAGAGAGTGCTGTCTGTCTACATGGGCTAGTTGATAACCGGTCACACTGAGAGTTTTTATCTAAAATCTGACATACCCTGATTCACATTGGGTACAGTCTAATGTCCTTCAGGCGTAGCTTTGTGTTAAGCTTTACTATGTCTATAGTTACATGACTCTTCTGTTTTTTCCTGTCTGTAGGCACATCAGCTCTTTAAAGAGCTATATATTGATCCATCAAAAGTTGAGACTTTGTTGCAGCTGGGGTTTACTGAACAGGAAGCCCGGCTTGGCCTCAGGGCCTGTGACGGAAACGTGGACCACGCAGCCGACCACATTACGCACCGCAAAGAGGTACCTTAATGTGGTCTTGGTGACACCGGGTCGCCGCCTGTGCCTTTGAGTAGGCGTGAAACTTGAGGCCATAGCAAGCTTATTTCCTAAGTGCCTTAGCTCTCAGATATGAACGAGCAGAAAAGAGAATTCTGTAGTAGGTGTTATTGACAAGGAACTAACTCTGTCACTTCCGACTGGGCAGTCAGGAGGAGCTTGTCTGTTTTAATTGCATTAATTTTCAGACAGTGCAATTTCCTTATTTCCTGCTGTGAAGGACAGTTTTCCAAGCCGTCGCCTCTCTTTCTCGTTTTTATTTTTATCATCGTGTCTTTCTGGAAACCATTTTAAAGGGGCCATGTTTTCCCATGGGGCCCTAGTTATGCTTTGAGATGGTATTCTTGCCTAGACACGAGTCATATCATAGAAACAATCAACATTATATTAGAAAAGCAAAGGCACAAAATTATGATCATTTAAAATAATTAGAAATAAGTACAGTGTAAAAAAAAAAACCCAAAACTTGAGAATTTTGGAGTTGGCAGGAATATTCCGTGTCTAATGTGCTAGTTTTACAGTAAAGGCGCTGAGGTCCAGAAGCAGTTAATGAGCAGATGCTGAGAAGTGGAGCCGTTTTCTTCTCTGTAAAACACCAAGTTGGTGTCGATTAGATGATCTCACAGGTCCTTTCTACCTGTAAACCCCAACGTGGAGGTCTCTGGGTAGAGGCGAAGGCTCGGGAAAGCCCAGTGCTGTGCGTTTGCCTTTCACGTCATCCAGCTCAGCACTAGTAACCAGCAGACATCGCTGATACTGTACTTGTTACTGTATTGTTACTTGATTGTCAGTAAGATTTTAGTAGCATTTGGAAAGCCGGTCTTTTAAAATGAGACAGTTTTGGAAAACAGCCCTCATCATTCCTTACACACCCAGAGCGTGGTGGTGGTGGTGGTGGGGGGGTCAGCAGCTCTGGCGTCACCCAGGACCCCCCTCCCCATTCAGAATCCACCTTGTACGGAGACCCCGGGGGACTCATCAAAGGCTGAGCAGCCCTCCTGCCCGTGGGGGAAGCTCCTCCAGCCCCCTCCCTAGAGGGGGCCCCCCCCCCCTTGGGGACCGAGCAGTGAGCTCGCTGGTTCCCAGGGGCCTGTTCCGGTGCTGGTAACTGTGCCCTGGACTGAGGCCTCCGGCTCCCGCTGGCCCGCCCTCCGAGCAGCGCCATGGTTTCTTCCCTGTGGCCCTCATGCTGTTGACGGGCTGAGATAGGCAGAGGGTCGGCTCTCATTTTGTTTTTCACTTTGGTTGGCAACCCCACGAATCCTACAGAGCATACACCGAGAAGGTTTTCTACAAAATCTCAATCCCCAGCTCAATGAGACTTTGCCGTTTTCCTAAAGGAATTGGCCCAAATAAGGAGAGAGGAACAAGAGAAGAGAAAACGCCGCCTGGAGAGCATAAACTCCTTGAAAAGAATGGGCTACTCCACTTACGCAGCCAAGCACGCCCTCCATCAGGCCGGCGGGAACCTGGACCAGGCCCTGAAGGTAACGCCTCCCCACGGACCCCTCGCCTGCCCTGAGCTGCCCTGACTCCGGCCCAGGCATCACTTCGTCCACTTCTCCATTTCTGCTGCAGTGTCCTTCCACGGTGCACAGAGCCCCCCCCGCCGTGGGTCCCTCATTCCTGGTTTGGCTGTAAGGGTCAGCACTCCCTTGCTCTCAAACCCAGTGACAGACAGAATGGTGGGCCCACCTTTGGCAGGAAGCTGTCTTTGGACACCAGCCTTCTGGGCCCACCTGGGTGAGGGGCCCCTTTGCAGCACTGACCACAGTGCCCTCCGTGCGTTTCTGTCCTGCGGCTTGTCTGCCTAGCACGTCACAGGTGTGAGTGATAAGTGAAGGGTATTCCTGTGTTTCTAGATTCTTCTCAGTAATCCTCAGAGGTGGTGGCTCACTGATTCCGATCCTGAAAGCAACCACAATCAAGAAAGTGCTTCCCAGGAAAATATTGACCAAGTAAGCGAGTCATCTGCGCCCCTCTCCACCTATACAGCCTCGGGTGGGATTGGTGGGGTGAAGGTTGGCAGCAGGACAGGGCCGAGTCCTTGGCTCCCGGGGTTCCTGGTGTGACATAGGCCCGCCCTAGGGGTCAGCCACGCACGTGGCAGTTGTGGTGGGAGAAAGGGGAGCAGGAGGTATTTCCTGTGTGAGTAGGAAAAATAAGAAAGCAACCGGAAGTTCTTTCTGCAGGCTTTTCTCCTCGTGTCCCTATCCCACTTGATACTCCACTCCTGTTTTTGTCAGCCCATTTCTTTGCCTGTGACCTAAAAGGATGTCACTGTTGCCATTCTGTCCACGTTGCCCCCCCTTCACATTAGTGTGCCTGGTTCGTTGTGGCCACTTAACTAATGGGACAGGTAGTCGAGCGGCATTGGCAGCGACCGCCACCTCCCCGTTCTCCCCCAGCTGGTGTACATGGGCTTTGACACGGGAGCCGCCAGAGCTGCCCTGCAAGTGTTCAGGGGACACGTCCAACTGGCAGCTCAGACCCTTGCTTACAATGGAGGCAGCCTCCCTCCTGACCTGCAGCTCGCAGCAGAAGACTCGTCCTCAACGCCTTCCACATCCCCTTCCGATTCTGCAGGTAGGTCTGCAGGCTCTGAAGACTGAGTGAGAGCCATGTTCTGCTGAGCTGGAAGCTGACAGGTGGGGATGGGACCTGGGGACAGAAGGGCGTGCACATCCGCACCGCCGGCTGCTCTGTGGGGTCAGGGAAGGTGTAGCCGAGTGGACGGGTCAGTGCAGTCTTGCCGTGGGTTCTCCTCTTTCTGTTCTCTGCCTGATCTCACTTGTTACTATGTGACTTTATTGCAGGAACCTCTAGTGCCTCAACAGATGAAGATATGGAGACAGAGGCTGTCAATGAAATACTGGATGATATTCCAGAACATGAGGAAGATTATCTCGACTCAACTCTGGAAGACGAGGAAATTATTATTGCAAAGTACTTATCCTATGTAGAAAATACAAAGTTGGCAACCAAGAAAAACTAATGAACAGAAATAAGTACTAAGTTTCTGCTTATAAATTCTATCATTATGAAGTGTAAAGCAGGTCTTTTTCTTCTTCCTTTTTACTGATTTTGCTCCGGAGTGCTTTCTGCCTGGGTGTAGGAGGGGCGGGCAGGGCTTAGAGGAGACTTGGGTGGGGGCCAGGGTGCTGGCCCCTCCAGGTGAGCTGGGGAAGGAGCTGCCTATGGCCTGGTCTGCTGGTCCCTGGCTGCCTGCCTGCCGCTTCCGCAGCCCTAGCACCTCCCTCCCCGCTTGGTTTCTTCCTACCCACGAAGGGGAAGGACTGAAGAACAGGGTGGCCCTGGGGAAGGTCTCAGGAAGACGTAAGCGGGAGAGAAAGCTCCGATCTGCCTCCTCGCCCAGCTGTCCTGCTCTGCTGACCCTTTCCTTCTTCCCGTGATGCAGCTCTGCCTACCTGCTTCACCCGCACTGCCTGCCCCTGAATGTCCTTTGAATCTTCAACCATTCCAGGTGCTTTGGGGGCGTAAAGATGAGGCATGGGATACAGGGGCCATGCCAAGTTGTGCCAGATGCTTTCAGCCTAAAACTAGTGTTTTATTATGCTCTTAGTTTAGTAAAATATGCACTTGAAATTCAAGGTTAAAATTCAGAACTTATATGCCTTCAAAATTCTCCTTTACAAAAATAAAATCTTTTATTAAATGGGAAAGGCTTAAATGCTAAAAAGTAACTTATTTTTAATTAGCATTTTCAAATGCTGTGCTGTCATGTTAAACTCACTGCTGGGGGGGTGGGGGGGTTTGGTATATCTGTATTACAGAAGACTGTTTCTAAAGATGTGTACTTAGCCTCTTATTGGCTAAGGAACACGCTCATAGCACCCTGCATTCCTCTCGATGTACTTGTACATGACATGAAAACCCGTCCCAGCGCCAGGACACAGTTGGCAGCAGCCGCGCACTGACTGAATCAAGTGCCTGATAGGCTCCCAAGATTCTTCCTGCCCTCCCAGAAGCCACTGGAAGCTCCTGTGACTGAGGGCAGATGGGTCGCTGCCGTGTCCTGACCAGGGGCTGGCTGAAATGCTTTGACTTTTTCTCTTACGTTTTCATAAAGCTTGGACAGCAGTCCAGTTGGAATGGGTGGAAGTTTCTTCTTATCATTCTTTTTAAAATGGGTAATACAGACGGAAATAAAAGGTGGAAAATACGTTCAGAAATGGTCAGCCTAATTTTGTGATAAGGTACTCAAACTAAACTGTTCTGAGTGTTGAAAGTGCCTGGGTGGTCCAGAGCGTCGCTTAGATGTGAGACATTTGCTTCCGCTGAGCTCTGTAAGGAAATCAGAACAGAAATGCCTGGTATAAAAAGATGAATGTGAAAAGCAGGGCTGGGGCTGATGGTGGGGAGGAAGGCTAAAGTGGGGGGAGTTGTGCTGACAGCCCAGGTAATGAGAGCCGTGATGTGGGGGTTGCTTGGCCTCCTCAGGGACTATGTCAGATGCGTCGGATTTGGGGCCTGAATCGCAGCTTTGGGCTAACAAGTTACTGTCCTGGGCTTGGGCCAGACGTAGCCTCTAGCTTTCCAAGTGTTTTTGTAATGATCATGGGAAAGGCTAGGGAAGCAGCCACGCCAGCAGGTCCCTGACTTTGCTCCATTGTGAAGAGATGCACAGTAGCCAGTTCTTGAGTTAGGGACCAGTTTGGGCATACGCTGTCCAGCGGGCGGCTGCCTCCATGAGCTGGGAGACAGGCTTTGATCCTGGCTTTGCCTCTTGCTGGTTGTGTGAAACTGGACAGGCAGTGACCGAGTGTCACTCCCTGCTTTGAGGAAGCAAAGGACATTTGTGATGAAAATGCTATTGAACAGGAAGAGCATGCTGAGGCTAGAAGAGTCGCAGAGGACACGGGCCTTGGATAGAGGAGGAAAGGGAGCATTCCAGACCTGAGACAAATGAGGTAGGAGTGGAGGTAGGACAGGCCAAGTGTGCCACATTCTTGAGGTCACAGGGGCTGTTCTAGACCCACGATAGGATGTGTGTTGGGGGAGAAGAATGAGGTTGGAAGGATAGCTGAATCTAACTACAGAGCACTCTGAAGGGTGGGCAGGGCTCTAGCTTTCAGTGGCAGCGTCCTGGGGTCATTGGGGGGCTCTGAGCAGGAGCCAGTGCAGATGTCTAAGATAGATGGGGTGGACCGGAGGCTCTGAGTGTCCGGAATGTGCCACTCCCCGTCAGATCTGATGCCCGTCACTTTTCTTTTGAAATTCTGTCTGCTCTTGACTCTGGTGACACTGCCATGTCCTGTCCCTATTTTCCTGCCCATGTGTCCTTTAAGTACTTCCTGTCCTGGTATCCCACTGAATATATCAAAGGCAAGAATATGCTATCAAAGGCAAATAAACATCTGGTTGGCTGGTCATTTTGATATCCTCAACATCTAGCAAAGGCTTCTGTTGCTGAAATAATTTCCCAAATACTATGCCATATAAATGCAAGACTGGTTTTCCATTTCCTACTCTCTCTCCTGGAGAGGCAGGCTGGAGAAACGAATGCAGCAGCCCCCGTTTCACGATCCACACCCAGAGGCTGCTTTCCTGGATGTGTGGTAGCCTGTGTGTTCTATTCTCTGTTGTGCGTGGCTGCGATGGGGGGTCTGACATGAGCAAGCACTGGTGAGGCAGGAACACAGCGTCAGCTGTTAGCGTCCCCAGCGTCCGTGCTCAAGCTGCCTGTCAGCAGAGCGTCCTGAGAAGGTGCGGAAACATGGTGCTCAGCCTGCCCTCCCTGACGTGGGGCTTCAGCGTCCTGGGAAGCCCCCTGGAGGTGGGTGGGCCCTGGAGAAGAACAGCTAGGAAGTGAGTGCTCCCAGCCAGGGCAGGCGGCACGGGGGAAACCCTATACCTGGATTGTGTGCTTTGAGTCCCATCCAACGAATAGGGGGTGATGCTGGCAAGTTCTCACCAGCAAGCCCGCTTTCCTAGGGAGGCCTCTGGGCTCCCAGGATTTGGGGGTGTGGCCTAGGGCGCATCACAAAGGTAGGCACCCCTTCCTACCACCCTTGGTGCCAATACTGCACCTGTTCGTCAGGCCAGGCCCTGGGCACCCCGGGAGCAGGTGAGGCCTGGCCAGCAGTTCATCTTCCTAATAAAACCCCCTTTGCATTAAGACAATGGAGGGCCCATTTCTCTGCATCAAGGGTTGCCTCCACATGGGGACGCTTGTCCTTGGCGAGATGCCGAGCTCTCAAGGGCAGACTGTTTTCTGTAGCTTCCTCTCTTCCTGCCTCAGGGGCCAGCCAGGGCCTGGTACGGAGGGCGCTGTGGGTGTATAAAGTGGGCACCCGCCAAGGGCGGGGAGAGCGCCCCCTCCTAGTGATATGAGGGCCTCAGCCTCGGGTCCTCTCCAGAGCCAGAGCCCCACGTTCCCCATTAAGCCCTTCCTGGCCAGTACTCCAGCAGCCCTCTTGTGTCTATGCTCCCGCAGAGCTGGCTCCTGTGCACGGGGCCAGGGAGCGACGGCCCCAGGCTTTCCACTCCAGACCTGAGAGAAGAGGCCCTTCCAGATGCATGCAGAAATGGGGGCCCCGAAGCAGGGGTGACAGGTCCCTGCTGTCCCCTAGACCAGCAGAGGGCCTGTTCCCTGCTTCTTGGCCTCTTCCACGGCCACTCCCCACACGAGTGACACTGGAGGGGTCATCACGCCGCAGCCCCTAATTTCACCCACGAGGAAGGGCAGGTGTGCGAGGCCCGAGTTCCTGGCACCCCTTCCTCCCTCTGATCGGAAGCTGCGACTCAGTTTGCAGAAAAGACGATGTATTCCAGCGCACTTTTAAGCACGTGTATTTCGGCTCTTTACAAATGTCTTCCGAAGGACAATTTGCCAAAATGATGACAATTTGCGGCTCAGTGGCTTTTTGAAGAAACATCCGTTTCCTCTCAGCAGGAAAGGCTTGGCTTCCGGGGATATTGGGCGCTCGGGGCGGTGAGCTGGATTGGAGACCCTGAGTTAGGAAGGTCCCGGGTGGACCGCTCTGTGGGGGCCTCAGGCTGAAGGGGTTGGGGCCGGGCTCCCACAAAGGACCCGGGGACAGCGTCAAATGTCCATGAACTCGAATGAAAGGCAAAACCGCCGCTTGGCCGCCCAGTCCCCCGGCCGCAGGGGGCGGGGCGCGTTCCCTCCGGGAGTCCCCGGGCTCAGGCCGGCTGCAGGGGCGCGGCGGCGGCGCAGCCCACCTTGTTGCTGAAGAGGCGGGAGAGGCTGCGCTGGGGCGCGGCGGGGCGCGGCGGCGGGAGCCCGCGCACGTCCCAGAGGCGCAGCGCGCCGTCGTGCGAGGCCGTGTACAGCACCTGGCCGTGCACCTGCGGGCGCGGGGCGGGGCGGGGGTCTCAGCTACCCCGCCCCCCGCCCAAGGGCGTACCCACAGCTGTCCCTGCAGTTACGCGGTCAGCCACGCCTCGCCTGCCGCGGCACCGGCGTGAACGTCAACTACCGAGGCCGATTCACGGGGGGGGGGGCATCGCGGCCCCGAAGACCTCGGCTTCGGGGAGGAGGTGCTGCCTGCGGCGGGGTGCTGGGGCGTGGGGACCCGCGCCCCCTCCCTCGGCCCCCTCTCCCTCGGGGGCAGGGGGCGGCCGGCGAGCGCAGCGCCTACCTGGACGCAGTTAATGATGAAGGCGTGGCCGCGGAACACCCTCTGCAGCGCTCCGGACTGCGCGTCGAAGGCGCGCGCGCGGGCGTCCCCGCTGCCGGTGAACACTGTGGACACACGCGCCGCTGGGCCTCCAGCCCCAGCCCCCGCCTCACAGGCATGGCATAAGGTTCAAGCGGGGAGGAGAGGAAGCCCCTTGAAAGGCAGGAGGCGGCGCCTTCACCATCTAACTACGTTTCTGTGAGTCAGGGGGCCTGCCGGGCCTTCCCCAGGTTCCAGGCCGCCTGCGCCGTTTCTACCTGCTGAGTACACCTGGGCCCAGGGTCCCACTCAGGCCTCCTGGTGGGAGCCGGTGTTGCCGGCAGCTCTGAAGCTCCTGCCTCAGGGGTACCATGCCTCCCCCCACCACCTGAGCAGCTCCCGGGCGAGGACCAGACACAAACACCCGTCCCCTTCTCAGCAGTGAACTGGGCCCTCTGGGGCTCCCTATCTGAGTGCCCCTGTCCAGCCTCTTGCAGGGGAAGCCCGCCTTCCTACATTATAATTTATTGTCGGAAAAGTCATGATGCGTTTTTTTTGCAACGAAACACAGAAAAAATACATCATGACCTTTCCGACAGTGTTCCCAACCCCTACGTGTATCCGAAACCCGGGCAGGGCTTGTTAAGAGGCAGACTGCTGGGCCCACCTGAGCACCTGCATTTCTAGCTGGTTCCAGGTGATGCCAATGCTGCCGGTCAGGGACCACACTGAGAACGCTGACCTTCTGGCCCACTTATCAGCTAGCCTGGGTTGTGCCAGCTGACCCTGACACTAGGACTCAAGTGCAAATAGTTCATCTGGCAGGGCCTTCCAGGAAGTGGGGCGAGAAACAGAACACAAGGATGCTCATACAGGTGTGCTAGTGAGCTAGTGACTGCTGGGGGCCCTTGGGAGAAGGTGCTGACCATGTCTCAGAGTTGTCCCACCTGGGGGCAAGGACGCTGGGCTACTTGTGCAGCAACTCCCATCAACCACTGGCCGAGGGCCTCTCCTGGGGACGTCACCTCCCAGCCTTCCTCTGTCCTGCCCCTCACAGGAACACGCCCTCAGGCACAGGACCTCAGGTGCTGCAGCAAGAAGTGCTCCTGAACGTGGTCCCCCTGAATGTGGTACCCCAAGGGGGCTCCCTTCCTTGCTCCACTTCCTGTGTCACCTGCCTATTCCGAGCTTTTCTGTGACAGTCACCTGTGACTGTGGCCCTGGGGAGGGGTATTTCATTTCTGGGTCTTCAGCTCCTTTCCTGCCTTCACCTCCCCACCAACTCAGTGCAGCTGCTGCACAACCCGTGGGTGGGAAGAGGGTCAGGAATTAAGTCGAACCATCCTGCAGCCTGTTGGCAAAGACCAAGGACCAAGTTCCTTAACAGTGGGCAGCAGGTAGGGCCCCTGGGAGTGGGTACAGGGGCAGCTTCCATCCCAGCTGCTACCAAGGGGAGGCGCTCTAGGCAGCCTTCTTCTTTTTATATTAGAGGTCTGGGACTCAGGAGCGGAGCCATAATCACACTTTTGGGTTTGGACACAGGAAGAAGGAAAAAATAAATTTTCCCTGTCACACACCTAAATCCCAGGGCATCTCAAGTTCTATTTTCAGAGAGCCACATTCGGCCTTCATCTAACACCTGTGTGGTGAAGTCCCTGTGAATTTTTCACTGTGACTCTTCCCCACCCCAGGCTGCCCCACACCCCAGTGCTAGGAAGATGACTGTCAGGCTCAGCTCTGTGGCTTCCTGCTGCTGCTGGTGTGTGTGTGTTGGGGGTGGGGGGGTGTGGGGGGGTAGCTGTTGGCAAAACATAACATTGAACATCGCACTGGGAAACAGACCTTCAGGAACCTGGGAGCCCCCTCCTACGCAGGTGTGGTGAGGTTGGGGCGGATGCGTCCCTGAAACAGGGTGTCTTCTGGGTGTGCCTGGGGTGTGACTACGTGGCAAGACAGTTTGACAGCACCGGCAAAGCCCAAATGTGTGACAGGCAAAGCCCAGATGTGTGACAATTTGAGACCCGTGGGATAGACAGCTTGCTGCCTACCCAACAAGCCATTCTGCTCTTCCTTCTTTGCAAAATAACCCTCATTAATCCTGGGAGCAATGTCCCCCAATAAGAGATTTCGTTATTCAGCCTCTCTTGCAGGAAGTGGTCAGAGAGATGTATGCAGAAGTCTGTGGGTGGAGCTTCCGGGAAAGATCCTTTAAAGGGGCCTACTCAGCGAGGAAACGCATCCTTCTGCCCTGCCCTCTTCTTCCTGCCGGCCTAAAATACGACACGATGGCTGGAGCTCCAGCAGCTCATCTTGAACCATAAGGCCCCCTTAAGGACAGAAGATAATGTGCTAAGGATGATGAAGTAAAGTGACAGGCGGAATCTGGGTGTCTGATAACTTCATGGAGCCATCCATTCCAGCCTAGACTGACAGCCCCTAAAGTTCTTCTGAGAGAAAAATAAGCTACTATCGCATTTAAACCCCTGTTACCTGGGCTTTCTCTTATCTGTAGTGAAACCTAATGCCAAGTCAAGCCAGACCCACCTGGCCCCCAAGTCTGGCTGGAGTACGTGCAGTCACTGTCTCATGTGAAGAACTAGAATGTGTCCTTGGGGTGTGCCCTTGACCCTAGGACCTCTGAACATGCAGGTTCTGAGCTGCACGTTCTTGGGGGGTCAATGTGGGAAGGCATCCCTACAGCCTTGTTTAAACCTTCTTTGTAAATAACGCGGAGGGATGCAGCACGGAGGAGGCATGGCCGCTGCCCTGCGGCGCTGACCATCCTGAATGGCAGCTGAGGCTCAAAGGGACCTCGAAGGAGAAGTAGAGAAGCAGAGAGGCCCTGGCCAGGGAGGACTTGCTGCGGGGAGAGGAGTGACAGGGACAGGCAGCGACAAGGCCGGTACAGCAAGCTGGGGTGGCGCGGGGAGGGCGGGGGCCAGGGCCACTTACAGGTGCCCGCGTGGTACTTGAGGGCGCTCACGCTGTGTCTGTGGGCCGTGAAGGTGCGCACGCTCTCCCCTGTGTCTACCAGCCAGCACTTGGCCGTCCTGTCGGCGCTGCCCGAGTACACATGCCGGTTCACGAGCTGGGGAGGGAGAGGAAGGGGGACGGAAGGTTGGCGCTGGACATCACTGGCTGCAGAGGGGCGGCTCAGAGTATCTCCCCCCCGCCAAGCCTCTAAGTAAAACGGGAGAGGCGAGCGCAGGACTCAGTGGAGAAAACTGTGCATGAGCCACCGACATCCTTGCCTGTGGGTCCTGCCCAACTGCCACTCCAGCACCTAAGCTCCTGTTGGCCGTCCCTTCTCCTCAGGATGCGTGGGGTCAGATGGGCAAGCAGGCCATCTGACCATCACTTTGCCCTACGCCAAGCCACTGACTCTGCCCTGTAGCTACTTCACCCGTAGGTGGGGATCGTGCCAGCCCCTCTGGGGTGTCACAGATACAACCCGAACAGCACTCAGCACTGGAAAAGCAAGGATCGCCGATGTTCGCCAGCACGGTGATTAATAACCGCAAGGTGTCGGTTAGGTGGATTACTGCTAACCCAGCATGAGTGGTGTCCTTCTAAGAGGAAATGTGGATGCAGACGGAAGGCCACATGAGGACGGCCATCAAAAACCCAAGGAGAGAGGCCTCAGAAGAAATCAACCCTGTAGACACCTTGATCTTGGACTTCCAGCCTCTAGAACTGTGGGACAATCGAGCTCTGTTGTTTAAGACGCCCTGTCTGTGATACTTCGTCATGCAGCCCTAGTGACTAGTACCCTGGGGCTGGGGCAGCAGCTCAGAGGATGACCCAGGGACCTCCCGGGCAGGCAGGCAGGGGCCGGTGGGTCTCACCTCCAGACAGATGACCGATCCCTGGTGCTCCCGAAACACCCGCAGCTGCTCTCCACTCAGGATGTCCCAGGCGCGGATGGTGGTGTCAGTGCTGCCAGTGAAGGCCGTGTGGCTGGGCGTGTCCAGCACAAGGCACAGCACGGCGCCAGTGTGGCCCCGCAGCGTCTGGTGGCAGCACCCACTGGCCACCTGCCACACCTTTGCCGTGCCATCGGTGCTGCCTGTTACCAGGAGTCCCCCAGCCACAGCCTCCTCCTCAAAGGGAGCCCCGGGGAGGTCCCAGGGGGCAGAGTAGGCTAGCGTCAGCACACAGTTGCGGTGGCCCCGGAACTCCCGGGACACCTGTCCCTTGTCCACACTCCAGGCACGAGCTGTCCGGTCATAGGAGCTGCTGAAGAGCTGGTTGTTGGCGACCAGGATCCTGGTGGCAAGAGGGGAAAGGTCAGGGGTCGACCATGCAGAGTTGCCTGGCGGGCTGTCACAGGATCCCTTTGGCTGGTGTCTTACATGTTCAATGAGCCCAGGTGACGGGAAGCACACAGAGCTCTCAGAGAAAATCATGGGCTGGCGTATCCAGGGCCCCTGCTTCAGGGGGACAGTGAGGGGCCAGGAGAGTCCCCAGAAATGTCAGGGGCCCCAGGCAGAGACTCGGCCTCTGGGCTTCCACCATCCACAGAAGGAAGCCCAGACTCAAGGTGTCCTCGGTTGCTGCCATCTACATCTTCACCCACCCCGGCATGGACAGGCACCATGACAGGAGGCTGAGTCCTCACTACCTGGCAGCCCAAGGGTCCCAGGCCACGCTGACCTGTTCACAATGGACGTGTGTCCTCGGAACACCTGCAGGCACTGCCCGGTCAGCACATCCCACTTCCTGATGGTGCAGTCAGCGCTGCACGTGAAGGCGGCCTCGTTCTCCAGCTGGCAGAAGGTCACGTAGCTTTCATGTCCTGGGGACGAGGGGAGACGTGAGCCTACCAGGGCAGGCCAGCTCGAGTTTTTCTTCTGGGAAGAATGTCCGAGACAGGCAAGAAGGGAAGAAAGCAGGGGGCAGCTAGGGTTTGAGATAAGTCCAGAATTGGCAAGCCCTTTGAAATGACGAGGTAAGCCTGGCAGAGTTTCAGGAACTGGGGGGAGCCAGGAACAACTCAGGGGGCACTCACCCTGCCCCCCAATCCTTTCATTCCCTCATCTTCCATCTCTTCTTCCTCCTTGCTCTCCTTCCCTCCCCCTTCTTCATCATCACTTTTCAGTCTTCTTCAAACTTTTCAGCTACTTGTATTCACTCAACCATTCAACAAATCCAGTGTTATAGAGGCAAGTACAGAGGCCAAGGACGTGGTCTTCAGAGCCCAAATGCTTGGGCTGGCATCCTGGTGCTGCTACTGTCTGCCCGTTGGCAAGTTATTTCACCACACTGTGCCTCGATTTCCTTGACATGGGAGAGTAACAATGCCTATTTTGTGAGGGCTGTTGCACAGACCAAGTAAATGTGGGTGTTAGCTGTTTGGGAGAAACACTGCAGTAGTCAGAATAATGGCCCCAACGATGTCAGGTCCTAATTCTTGGAACCTAGAAATGTTACCTTACTTGGAAAAAGACGCATTTGCAGATGCGATGAAGTTAAGGATCTGGAGATGGGGATATTATCCTTGATCATCAGGACGGGCCCCAAATGCAACCAGTGTCCTCATAAGAAGGAGACAGAGGGAGATGTGAGGACACAGAGAGAAGGCGCTGTGAGGACAGAGCAGAAAGTGACTTGAGGATGTTGGCACTGAAGACTAGTGTGATGTGGCCACAAGCCAAGGAGTGCTGGTAGCCACCAGCAGATGGAAGAGGTGGCCGGATTCTCCCCTCCAGGTTTCAGAGGGAACGCAGCCCTGCTGACACTTCGATTTCGTCCCAAGGACACCGATTTTGGACTTCTGGCCTCCAGAACTGTGCAAGAACAAATTTCTGTTGTTTTAAGGCACCCAGTGTGATCACTAGTCACAGCAGTCATAGGAAGCGAATACAGCTGCAGGCAGAGATGACTAAGACATATTTCCTGCCTTCAAAGCGAGGAGCCCACCCAGGAAAGACTGTCGGTGAGTGTGACACGTGCAGGACAGAGCATGTCAGGGGTCAACAGAGCAGACATCTGCGTGTTGCCGCGGAGCACGGGTCCACGTGGTGCCTATGGAGGGACACGCATCTGGGAGAGGAGGCGGTGTTCACTGAAGCAGGAGGGGTCCCTTAAGCCAGGATTTAGGAGTTTGGCAGAGACAGAGGGTGAGGCAGAGACACAGCGAAGGTGCAGGTCTAGGACAGAGGGAGGCCACGCAGAGTTGTGTCTTGGCCTAGGGCACCTGGTCATCCCTCTTATCAGTGTGGCTGTCAGATATTTTAAACATCACCCTCGTCGTGGGACCAGTGTTTATGTCTCGGGTATTATTAAGCAGCCCCGGGAGACTACGGGTCCGCATCATAGTAGGGCCTGTCCTCCAGGCAAAGATGTCGCCACCTCGGATAACAACTTTCAACAGCAAAGTGAAGCTGAGTCTATTTGAGGGGGATTCAGGGACCAGAGAATCAACAGAATCAAAGGAATCTTAGACCGATGAGCCATTTCACAGATGAGAACACTGATGGATTCAAATATCCACACATTTGGGAGACGTATTTATCACATTAAGGATTCTGATCAAATTTTAAAACTTCATTTAGATGTCTGGGCTCGGGTAGATGGGGTCTTAGAATCCCCTGGGAGGTTTCAAGCTAATTCACACTTTTTTCTTTTTTTTTTTTTTTTGACCCTGGATTTAAGCTTAGTTACTCTTGGAAGAATTCAACTTCCTGGGTTCTAAGAAACATTAAAAAAATAAATAAATAAAACTAAGAAAGAAATGTTTTCCAGTCGTTTTGGGTAGCATATACCAAGCCTCTAAGAAAACAACGTTTGTGTGAATTAAATAAACACTCGCAGAAGTTGCAGATTATGTTTCCCTTAAAACACACGTCAGTTTAAAAGTTGAGGGCTAACTGTGTTTGGCAAAACACAGCCCAGCTTTTTGCCAGCCCCAAAGAGTTTATAAAATATGTTAAGATTGTCAACAAACTTTGCCTGAGACCAGCTCTGTTGACGGGAGGGCTCGGCCCTGGGAGAAGGAGCCTTCTGGCTTCCTCAGGCTGGCTGGCAGGCAGCCAGGGTGTCCCGAGGGCAGCTTGGGGCCTCCGAGCTTGCCCCGCACGGGCTCACGTCCTGCAGTCCTCCACGGACCCGGTGCGGTGGGGCGCTAACCCAGGTCCCCTGGAAAGGCTATCTTGGGGCATCATCCCCACTCAGACTACATCCTCCCATCGCAACATCACCTCAACAGCAGGAAGGCAAAGCGCCAAGTGTAAGTGAGAATCAGGCCAAGAAAAACACTGAGAAATGCTAGTACACTAGGACACCTCTACTCAATGAAACTGAAGCCGTTAAATCAGAGATGCTGTAGACCAGGAGATGTGGGAGCCCTTTTAGGACACACAGAAGTAAAAAAGAAAAGAAAAGAAAAAGAAAAGGGATATATACACTGATCGTGAATCAATAAAAATATAAACACATAAACAAAGGTGATAATGAAGTTTTTCAATGAAAAAAAAAAACCTCATCTCTGAAGCTGGGCCAGGCTGACCCTCTGAGGGTAGGGGGGCCCAGCCCTGAGCTGGCTGAGGCTCCCTTCAAGGATCAAGGCGTCCCCAGTGGACCTCTGTCCTCTGTGCACCAAGCACCCACCGGGCATCTGAAAACAAGACAAGCGAGTCCTGGCTCAGAGCCCCACCAGCAGAGGGGTCCTGGGGGCTGCAGAACGCATCCCTGACCATAATCCATGGACAGAGACAGGGCTCCACTGCCCCAAGGGTTTCGGGGTCACCGAGGGAGCAAGGCCCCTTCCAACCATAGGGATGGATGAGGGAGGTCACGAGGGAGGGAGGGTCTGGGGAAGGGAGGGCCCATCATGTCTCCAGGGACCACAGTGCCTTGGCCTCAAGCTGTTGGAATTGTGCAGAATAAGCGAAAAAGCCAAACTAAAAATATTTTCGAAGGGATGAAGAGTGCAGATAAGATGCAGTTATTATGTTCAAAGAACATGCTGAGGCTCGTGGGCTCCTGCCAAGGCCCTCCCTGCCTGCCTGCCCACACACCCTCTGTCTTGCTGCAAGTTCAAAGTCAAAGTGCTCCTGCACATAAAGAAGCGGCTCTGAGCTTGGGATCCCAGGTCTGCGGTAACAGGTGGGCTGGAGAGGGCACATGCCAAGCTGGAACCACCTTCGACTCAGAGTGAAAAGTGGCTCTTTTCCCCTTTGTTGTCCCTGGCAAGTCTCCTGTCTGTCCCTTCAGATACCCCTCCTCTTTCCCAGCCTACTTTCTGCAGCTCCCCTGTATAGGTCACTACTGCGGAGGGGGTTCAGGCTACTGGGAGCCCCAGCCAGAGACTTGATACAACATGACAGAAGCCCAGGGTAAGAAATATATCCAACTTCGATAAGTAGGTACACAAATATAAACCGACGCGTATTTGCAAAACTTTTACAACACTCCTGCTGTTTCATCCAGTTTCCAAATACTCGAATGTTAAATTGCAGATGAAATGAGGCAGCAGAGAGCAGCGCAGGGAGGCGGTTCAAATTTCAACGCTACCCCCCACTGGCTGTGTGACCCTGGGAAGTTAGTTAACTCTGTGCCTCGGTTACCCTGTCTGCACGAGTAGGATAACTGGAGTGTGAGCACCGCGCACTGTCGCGCTCAGGACCGCCGGCACTTAACAAGCCCAGGTCGCTACCCAAAGGCCTGGGGAGACACGTGCAGCCAAAGGAACCCGGCCGCTGAGAGACCAGGGAAGGCGCTGTTGAGCTGAAGGGGTATAGGTGCGATTTCTTTTTGTTGGTGAAAACTATTGTAAAGGAAATAATTTCACATGGTGGTTTCACAAGTGATCTTCGCCCCCGCAGAGGGCGCCCCTCAGCCCGATCTCAGCCCGCTCTGCGCCCCACCTCACCCCACCTCTCCTGGCGCCCCCAGCCTCGCGTGCGCCCGGATGGTTGGGTGCTGGACCCAGGCAAGCGCGCTTCCACGAGTGCCCTGGGATGGGTGGGGGTTGGACTCTGGGGGTGGGGTCTGCGGGCGTGAGAACCGAGGTCTGAGGCAGGCGGGCTGCGCGCGGGAGGTTCTACCTTGAAGGAGGGCGCAGCACTGGCCGTCCGCGGTGCTCCAGAGCCGGGCCGTGCCGTCCTCGCTGCCCGTCAGCAGGCGCTGCCCGTCCGGGCTCAGACTGAGCCAGTTGATGCCCCCGCGGTGCTCGGCGCAGACCCTCAGGGCCGACCCGCCGCCCCCCATCCTGCCGGCCCGGCGGGGGGTGAGGAAAAGGCTGCGCCCGCTAGGAAGGAACACCTCGGCATCCGCAATCCCTGGGGCTGCGTCCTGTGGCCATCGCAGGGGGCCGGGGCGCCAGGCTCCTGCAGGGACACGGGGCGTGGCGGGGCGAGATGGGGCGCCGCCCACAAGGCCTCCCAGACGGCTGACCCAGTGGTGGCGGCCCACTTGGGATCCCCTCTGCTCGTATCGGGCAGTCCCAGCCCCACCGGTGCAGAGCGCCTCCCTTCCCCATACCCCCTCAGGAGACCCGCACCCCACCTGAGCAGGCCCCTCCCTCCGGGGCCCTGGCGAGCCAAGCAGAGGCGTCTCAGGGCGCGCTGGGAACCCCGGATCTCTTTGTGGGGCGCCGATGGTGGGGGGAACCCGGGAAGTCAAGCGCCCTGCGCGCCCTCCCGGGCCAGCGCCGCGCGCGCTCGGGAGGTCGAGTGCCGAACAATACAGTCCAGCCTGGCTCCTCCTCAGAGACCACCCCTCAACCTGTCCCCTCCCACTTCTCGGGCCTGCGCTCCAGCCCCTACCCTGCGCTCCCGCAGCTACTGGGTCCCTCGGGGCTGACTTCGGCCCCTGGCCTCAGCACAGGGGAGGGGGGGGGCACCGCTCTACGTGCGACCCTCCCAGATGCCAGGCTGGCTCTGGGCTCCCGCCCTCTGCAACCCCCGCCGAGACCAAAGGCCGGGACACAGGAGGAAGAGGTGGACCGAGGGTCCGGGTAGGGGAGACGCGCACACCCAGGAACTCGCTCGAGCCGGCAGCCGCGCGCCTTCACCAGCTCCCATCAGGCTCCCAGCTCTAAGAACCCTTGGCGGACTTGGGGGGCGGTCCCCTTGTTGGAGAGCACCCTAGTCTACCCTCGCTGGGAAATCACGCGCACCCCCGAGGTCTAAAAAAGTCACGTGGGGAGACTAGAGGCGGGGGCGGAATGCAAGCCCTGGCGAGAGGGCGATGGGGCTTCCTGGAGAGAGCTCTGGGTCACCCCCTCAAGCGACCCGCCGGTCCAAGGCGCCATCTCCAGTGGGTCCTGTGCTGGGGGCTTGGAGCCCCGCCCACCACGTCTGCACCTTTCAGTCGCTCCTCCCCCGCCCAATCCCTGCGCGCTCGGCTCAACCCGCGCCTGGGACAGTCCGCTGGTCCACCGAGGTCTCTGCAGGAACCTCAGCCAGGAGCTCCAGTCTATTGGTTCCCATTAGGGTGGGGGTGGGGGTGGTGGTGGTGGTGGTTGCGGGGACTTCTAACTCGGATCCTCCAGGTCCTAAAGGCAACAGGATTTCCCTCGGGCTCTTTCGAGAAACTAGTGGGGCAAACCTAGATGGGATTTATGATTGCGTGCTGGGGGCTGGGCGGGGGAGCAAAGTGGCTTTGGAAAACCATCCCTTATCACAACCATCGGACCTTCTCCCAGTGGTTGACCCTGTCCAGACTTCGAAAGAAAACCCCATAGTGGGGTCCCACAGGGCGTTTGGCTGTTTATTTCCTAAGTGGCCTAACACAAGAAACCCAAACTTGTGAATCAGTTAGCAGTTCAGCTTAAGGAGCAGGACCTTACTTTGTGGCAGTGAGCGTCAATGAAGGGTTCGGGTGGGTGAGGTACAGTGGGATTTGGACTCCCCAGAAGACACTGGTGGAGGTGGGTTGAAGGGGCAGGAGAGGGGAAGGCAGAAAGGGGCAGGAGAGGGGAAGGCAGAAAGAGGCTGACTCTTCAGAAACTGTGCAGTGTGGGAGGGAGGACTCGAAGCAGCCTCCACTGTGCTGTATTTTAAAGCGCACAAACCCAAAACATATTGTGCCATTCACAAAAGGAGGCTTTAAGAAGCTTCAGGATTATTACTACCATTATTAGTGTTTGGAGGACAATTATCAGAGAATTAAAATTATTGTTGGGAGAATAATACATGGCCATATACCCTTAGATGCCTGTATAAACATGTGTCCCATGTTGTCAGTGTTGCCAGGACCCAGGGAGGGATGGAACCAGCACTGGATGTCAGAGAGAGTTCCCTAGTCCCTGAGTGAAGTTCAGAGCCAGGCTGAGCTGGAGTTCTGGGCTCAGGTCGCCCACACTCCCTACATCCCCTCATTCCCAGAAGACATTCAATCTGTTCCAAGGGGTCACTGTCCTTCCAATCAGGTTTAAGGTTAAAAAGGAAGCAGGCTTAGAAAACAAAACCTCCCTCTCATGCCAAGACAATCTTTGTCCTGGCCACTGCCTCCAGCTGCTGGCCTCAGAAGTCAGGAGTCAGGCCCTTTGAGCAAGCGAGTTGCTGCTCAGAGACTGGCCCAGAGTGAAGAGGAGAGCCTTGCTATGCAGATGTCACCCCACATTCGGGTCTGGAATGTCTGGGCCTTTCCTGGGTGCCTGACGAGGGCTGTATTAGTAAAGACTGGGCTGTTCTGTAGTATGAAAGCCAGCTGGTAAACATCCCATCTCCCCAAATGATCACTTTATCTCCTCTACAGACTTCCTGGCAGCTTCAGAGAAATGTCAGAGGCTAACTATTATAGACAAAGGGAAGGCAGCTTTTTAAACAGCTTTCATAATTCATGAGCTTTGACGTCCACCTCTGGCCAAGATGGAGTCATAGAGATTAGAGTTACCCTCCTACCTCCTACCTGAAACAACCAAAACAACACACAAAAATATATGAAGCTTTCAAGACAATGGAGGTCAGGCAGTGAAGGACAGTAATTCCTGGGAGATGGGAAAAATGAGGTGAGCCCTGCTGCTGGCCGAGCTCGCTGCCCTGAGAGCATTTCCAGACCACAGAGCAGCAAGGGGGAACCCAGATAGAGCCCAGTGGACTCCCTGCGTTACAGAAAGAGCTGAGCGTCAGGGAAGAGTAAAGTGGCTAGAGATGGCGGGATAGAGCACCAGAGAGGAGAGGACCGTGGAGATCTATAGAAGGTCCCTCTTCCGTGTGCAGCTGGAGAGTGATCAACAACACATGCATGTGAGAAAACTAAGGTGGGAAAAGAAATAGAGGGAACTGCACAACCCCACAAGGGGCTCAGAGGAGTGCAGCAAGGACATGAAAACAGTTATTATCTGTATTCCATGAGTTGAAACATGAGGTAATGTAGGAGCATGAAAGCTATCAAAGAGTCCCAACTGGACTTCTAGAGATGAAAACAATGTCTGAAATCACACAACAATGACAACCCAGCAGATTGAGCATGACAGAATAAAACCTTAGTAAACTTGAAGACACAGAAGTAGAAACTATCAAAAATGAAAACTAGAAAAAAGAATTTTAAAAGTGAAAGAGCAGAAGTGAGCTGCAGGACAACTTCAAGGAGGCTAATATGTGAGTAACTGGAGTCCTTGAAGAAGAGAAAGGAAAGAACAGAAAAAAAATATTTGAAGAAATAATGGCTGAAAGTTTCCAAATTTGATGACACAGATCCAAGGAACTCACTAAACCCAAACACGGGAAACACAAAAGACAAAGGATCCTTCAAGAAGAATATATAATTATAAAGTACAGCATAGAGAATATAGTCAGTAATGTTGCAACAACTATGTATAGTGCCAGGTGGGTACTGGACTAATCGAGAGGTACCGCTGCATAAATTATATAAACGTCTAACCACTATGTTGCACACTGGAAACTAACATAAAATAATATTGAATGTCAAAAATAAAAAAGAATATATGACCTGAATAGCCCCACATCGATTTTCAAAAATTGAACAAGTGAGATTTATCCCAGGAATTCAAGGTTGGTTTAACGTTCAAAAATCAACCAATGTATTGCATAAGGATAAAAATATAGAGCAATGGAATAGAACTGAGAGCCCAGAAATAAACCTATATATCTATAGTCAATTCATTTTCAACAAAGGTGCCAACTCAATTCAAAAAGATAAAGAACAATCTTTTCAAAAAATGGTGCTGGGACAACTAGACAGCACATGTAAAAGAATGAATTTGGACCCTGTACCTCACACCACATACAAAATTAACTCAAAATGGATCAAGACCTAAATGTAAGACCTAAAACTATAAAACTCTTAGAAGAAAACATAGGTGTACATTTTCATGACCTTGGGTTAGGAAATAATTTCTTAGATATGACATCTAAAGCATAAGCAAACAAACTATAAAAGGAAAAATTGGACTTCATCAAAATTAAAAACTTACGTTTCAAAGTACGCTGTCAAGAAAATGAAAACTCAAATCCATAGCATGGGAGAAAATGTTTGCAAATCATATCACTGATAAGGGTTTAGTATCCAGAATATACTTTTTAAAACCACAAATCTCTTAACTACTTAAAAAGACAAAGAACCCAGCTTAAAAATGGGCAAAAGATCTGAATAGATGTTTCTTCAAAGAAGATCTACAAATTAATCAGCACATGAAAAGATGCCTAACATCACTAGCCATTAGAGAAATGCAAATTAAAACCACAATGAGATACCAGACACACCTATTAGAATGGCTAAAATGAACAAGTCTGACCGGTCCAGGAATTCTTGTTGGCAACAATATGGAGCCACTAGAACTTTCATATACATCCGATGCGAATATAAAATGGCACAAGCACTTTGGGAAACTTTGGCAGTTTCTGAAAGAGTTAAACACACCTACCATATGACTCATCCATTCCTCTTTACCCAAGAGAAATGAAAGCATATGTCCATATGAAGACTTACACAAGAATTTTCGTAACAGTTTTATTGCCAATAGTCACAAATTGGAAACAACCCAAACGTCCTCTCCAGAGTTTAGCTAAGCTACTCCAAGGTGTTTCTGCCTCGCCATCCATTTTATTGGCCAAGTGGCCTGCAGGGAACTCTCTCTGGCTGCTGCTACAGGGGTGTCCGTCTCTCCTGTCAGGGTCCTGGTCTGATCCCTTCTTAATTACTGAGTTTCCATTTGCTGTTAAGGGAACAGCAACAAAAAGCTTTCCCCCTACATTCCAGGTTTCAGCCTTTCCAAAGCAGAGGGAGGAATAAATGGGGCAGAGGGAACTTCCAACCCTCCTGACTTTTCACTGTGCAGGCAGCAGCCGTCTTTGGTTTACGGTTTCAGGCCCACTTTTCCGACTCCTCTGACAGGTAATTACCTGAAACTAACCCATCATTCACACTTTTCACTGGCACCCTGCCTGCAACAGATCGAGGTGAGGCAAAACCAGGTCTCATGCACCACCTCAGGCTGGTAGTGACCACATACGGGGCTGGTAGAACCTTTTCTGCATAGTTTATCTCCCCAAAATACTAAACAAACAAAAATCCCTATGCTATTGGAATTTTTATATTATTTCACTATAATCACGTGACAGTTATAAAGGCAGGCAGTCTGTTCAACACATTGTGTCATAACTTTTAGCTTCCACAACAACTTTTCAAGATACATGTTATGATATCTTCCTGGTTTTACTGCTGAGGAAACTGGGGACTAGAGAGGTTAAGTAGACGAAGGAGCTCAGCGCTGAGTGCGAGATTTCAGTTCTGTTATGACCCAAGTCTACATGGGGCGTCCACTAAAGGATAAGGACTCAGCGGCGTGAAGGAGTAGGCGTCCCCTCTGTGCCCAAGATACGGAAGAGATCTTGGGCAAAGGTTTGGCAAGAGTGCCTTCTCCTGAATAATAGGAGGAATGTGGGCACCACCCTTATGTGCGTTCCTCTGAGAGACAAGCAAGGTGATAACCAACCAGTCTCTGGGTGCTGGATACTCTCCTATCCCATCAGAGATCTCAGACATTCTGCACATGGGCATCTCTCCTTGTATGAACAGCTTTTATTCTCACCCAGCACAGTACGGCATCCTGGTGAGAGAGAGAGAGAGAGAGAGAGAGAGAGAGAGAGAGAGAGAGAGAGTGTGTGTGTGTGTGTCTGTGCGCGCGCGCGCACGCGTGCGTGCGTGCATGCATTCTCGAGTGCATGCGTGTGTGTGCATGCGTGCGTGGCTAGGCGGGACCACGAGGGAGCCTGGTTTAGCAGCATCTGTTTTCACTCATTCCCGAAGATTTCCAGCTGCCCACAAAATGATGCATTTGCTTGCTCTCCGTGTGGATTCTGAAGCCAAGTTTAATTCCTATGGAGGTTGTTAATCCTACAAAGGGTAATTTACATGAGTTTACTGTCCTTCCAAAGGGAAGCCACTCTCTACACCTGCCTTTATTTTGCTGGGAGCAGAAAAGGTGGGGGAGGTGAGTGGGGGTCAGTCGGGATCTTTGCTTGCTGTGAAAGAAACTGAGTTCAATGTGTTTAAGCAAGGAAAGGGGGTTCATGGGAAGGATATCAAGGAGAGGAAGAGATGACCATCCAGGTTTAAAGAACTATAAGGACTAGGGAAATGCTAGGGGGTCTCAGCAGCCACAACTTGTGGAATTTGTGTCTAGGATGCTCTGAGTTTACTTGGCTCCGGCAGCCCCCTCTCCTGGTGTGACTTGGCACCAGATATAATTTCCAAGGAGAGAGAATTTAATTGCTCTACTGTGAGTTAAATCTGGTTGGGAGCAGGCCCCTGTGACTGCCTCATTAGCATCATAGCCATCCTAGTGGACCCAGCAAGTCGCTCACCGCCATCTACCCTTCGGCTGTTCAGTAATCACACACAGTCACCCCTCTTTCTATGGGTACAGTTCCAGCAGTGCCCCTGCTTCCAAGGACTACCCTACGTGACCCACACGTGCACTGCTCTGTTCCCAAAGACAGTCCCCCAAGGGAAAGGGTTCTGAGCAGACAAAGGCAGCCCCAGGTCTTGGATGAGGGCTAGACTGCACAACAGAGACCCGACGTGTGACCACACGCGAACCCCTTCATCTCTCAGAGCCTCAAGGTCTTTGTCAACTAGGACCCACAACACTTGTCCTGCCCTGCTGACAGGTTACCGTTGGATGGGACTGAAGACACGGATGGACTTGAATGTGTTGCTGCAGCCACCAGACATTCTCCCCGCTCCCTCTCTAAACAGCCAAGGCGCCTCAGCAGTTTCCACCCCAATCTCTCTGCCTTCCCTCTGGAACCCTTTCCCATTTTTCTCCCACAAGAAGCCACACTTACGGTGGCCTTCAAGGTTATACAATAACCGCTTTAAGTCTTTTTCTTCAACTGTAAAAGAGAGTAACATACCCACCTCATTCTCTGTAAGAACGGTTTCGGACAGTGTTTGTGTTTTGGACACAGTCATTATTCAATAAATGTTAGCTGTGCTGTCATTCTTAGTATTCACTGATTAACAAGTATGGCCAGGCCCTGGTTTACTAGCCCAGTTAGATTCACTTACAACTAGCTAAATATTCCTCTGTAAACAAGGGATGTTCAACTCTCCCCCACGGGAGAGTTTACCTTGGCCTCGTGCCATTGGCCTAGCCCTGTGGGGTGTGATTAGCAAAAATCCTAGGAAACTTGTTATTTTCTTTGCAGGAGGGATATGTTGAGGATGCAGCCCGTGAAAATCAGCATGGGTCCATGGAAGAATTTTCTCCCTGGCCTGCGTCCCAGGAATTGCTGTGCTCCCCCTGGGACCATGGTTTCTTTTTATCTTTTGGACTCTGCATCATGGAACTCATCCTGCTTGCTTTGGCCCAATCACGAGCCCCACTCTAGCAAAGAATCAGGACTTTGCTCTGTGGGTAATATCGTGGATGCTACCCTCACCCCAACCTCACCTTTTTCTTCTTCCTTTTTCAAAGATCTCTTCACGTACCGTTCCTATCCTGCTTTTTGGGTAAGGTGGCCTTGGCGCCCAGCCCCTCCATGACGTGTCAAGTGGCACTGGAGGGCCCCCTCTCTGTGTGGAAGGCTGCTGCCACCTCTGGAGGCGCCTCTCTCTGGCAAGCCCAGGGAAAGGGTTTCCAGTCAGCAGCCCTGTTCATGGGTGGTGCTGGTGCCTGTGGCCGGCGGGGTAGTCTGGCCCCAGCTCTGAGGTGGACACGCTGCCCTGCTCTCTGTGCCTGGCAACCAGGGGCAGTTTCCCCAGCCTTCCATGGGTAAGGGACCCAGGAGACAAACACTTCAGCCCCAAATTGTGGTTGCTGGGGGACTGGCAGGGTGTGTGGGAGAGGGTGTGGCTCAGTCTTGCTGCCCACACCCCTGACTGATCCTGCGTCCAAGCAGTCCTGCACAATCCCCAAACTCCCTCCGGTTGCACACGGACTCTCCCACGTGGTGGACAGGTCCTCACCCCTGCCCCCTACCCAGGGGGTCCAGTCCGGGGGGGGGGTCCCAGTAGGCCTGGACCACGTGCAGGATCATCACCTCTGACTGCTCAGCCTGCTCCCCCACACACGCTGAGCAAGGGGCTGGTCTCAGCTTCCAGCGAGGCCTTCTCCAAACCTGCAGGCCCCTCCAGGGACCTGGCAGCCCCTCGCCCAGCCCCTCTTAGGCAGAGCCCAAGCCAAGGAACAGAGGCAGCTGGACTCTGCAGGATGTTTCCAATGGCTGACTCCAAAGGGGCTTAGCTGTAGGCAGCAGGGAGGCCAAGGGCCTGTTTAGAAAGATGATCATTTTATAGGTCCAGGCTTCACATCCTGCAATGCAAGCCACTCCGGCCGGTGTCACTGGGCTGCTCCCACACACCTGTGTGGCTGAGCAGGGGCTGGGACTTAAGAAATCAGGGTTCAGCCAAGTCCTCACCCGCCTCCCTGAGCCATCCTGCAGAAGGACATCTCCTTGGGCACTTTCAATTTCCTCAGCTGTCACCGCATAGCATTCAGTAGGGAACCAAATGAGATCAATAAGGTGACAGGTTGTTTAGGTAACGGGAGGTGCGGGCAGGCAAGACCCACAGGGTCCTCCAGGATCTGGGAGGATTTTCATACCCAAACTATCTCCCAACCGCCCTCAGCTGGAGCGAGGGTTTTGTTTTTACTGCGGTAAAATATACAGAACACGAGATTTAGCGTCTGAGCCGCTCTTCAGTGACCCTGAGCACACTCACGCTGTTGTGCAACCGTCACCCCCATCATCTCTAGAACTTTCTCATTTTCCCAAACTGAAACTCTGGAGCTAAATTTTTAAAAGTCTCACCCAACAGGTTTTTAGTGAAAATCCGGGTGATTTCTTGAGGGAAACAAAGATATGTAGGACCCTGAAGGGATTTTTCCTGGTGGGGGTGAAGGCGGAGACAGGAGGCCTTTAGCAGAGAATGTGGGGGCCCCCAGGGGTGCAGGGGGCCCCGCTGGGCTTACCTGGAGGGGGTGGGAAGGGGGACAAGGGAACGATACTCTCGGGAGCCAGCCCTCAGCTGCCCTCCCGGGGGCTTCCAAGGGAACGTTTATTCTGTGGTCAGACTGGGCCTGATAAACACCACATGCCGGCCCCTGGTGGGCAGGGGGCCAGCGGGCAGGGCAGGGGGACTGAGGGCTGAGGACACCACGAGGGATGGCTCTGTGAACGCCCCAGCTTTCCAAACCGCAGCGTGGAGACAAGTATGTGAAGCATGTGACTCTCTTCAGAAGGCGCTGGCCCTGGGTCCTCCGACCCCCCTGGACCGACTTCAGACAAATTACAAGCCTGCCCACAAGCATTCTGGTGGGAAGCTTGTTTTCCTTCTTTCTGACAAAAAGCAGATTTACTGACAGATTAGGGAGCTGGGGGCTGGGGTGAGAGGGAGGTCACCCTGGAGCATAAGCCTATCACTGAAGCATTAAATCACCGGTTAATGAGGGGCCACTATTGCTCGGCACTGGGAGCAGGACAAGTTCTGGAGGAACCTGGAATGCTGGGAAGGGCGGCGAGGCCTGGCCCCTCCCCGGGCCCCTGGGGAGCTGGACTGAGCTCCTTGGACTGATGGAGGGCTTCTGTCATCAGCAGCTCTCATTTGATCTTTTGGAGGGGGTGCTACTGTTATCCCTGCTGGAGAGCTGGGGAAACTGAGGCACAGGGCGAGCATCCTGTTATTCCCAGAAATCACACAGTCTCCAGGACGGGCTCCTCCCTCCTTCTACCCCCGCTGGGGCAGTGTCCACGCCCAACAGGATGGACCCAGCGTCCTAGAGAGAACCCAGGCCACAGACAAGGTCCCCGGGGCACCCTCCAGTTCACAGGTCCGCCCAGCCCTGCGAGCAGGTGGGGGTTGGAGCAGAGGCTCTGAGCCTTCCAAGCCCCTTTCTCCTCCATTCCCACAGAGCCTACCTGTTCACGAAATAGCCTCCCTCGGCCTCCAAGTGCCCCCCCCACCACCAATTTTTCTCTCCTTATAGGATGTAAGGGGCCAGTGTCCCTGCAGGCCAGCCCATCCTTTCAGAGGGACCAAGGTCATATAAACCCCAAGGCCAAGACTCACTCACCTCAGGACAGGCTAACGGCTGTGGAGTGGAGGACGTGTCCTGGGAGCTCTGAGTCGCTGAGTTAGCTACAGACCCCTGACATACACCGGTCCTCCGCCTCACCCCTCCTATCACTTATTTCTCATTCTCCCCTAACTGGGAGGGGGTGTCTGGGAGTCAGAGGAAGCACCCTGGCTCCATCCTGGCTCCCCCAGGAGCTTGTTCGGGGCCCCAGGTGGTCGTTCCAACTCAGAGCATGGGCTTTTCACGTGCACAATGAAAGGGCTGGACTCCATGACCTGTACAGGTCCCCTGTAACCCTAATATTACCCCAGGGGGTGCCTCGCAGTGCCCTCTTCCACCCTCTGGGTCCCTGTGGCTCCCCGCCCTGGGGAGTCCTGCTAGCCTCCTGCCCAGGGCCTGGTGTGCCCCCACAGGGCTGCCCTGCCATCAGGAAGGGGCAGAGAAATCGCTCAGGCCAGCTCACTCCGCACTTTTATGGCGTTTATTCCCCATGGTCCCCAGTCCCAGGTGGGGCAGGAAGGGACTGGCCTTCTCCCTGGCCTCTCCTGGTCCTGGCCTGGCAGCGGCAAGCTGGCTAGAAGTTGACAACGCTGCGGAGAGACTGGACAGGAGCGCTGTGGGCCCCCCAGTCTGAGAAGCTGCGGAAGTCGCCCCGCTCCACCAGGTACATGCGGCCGTGGTAGTTGGACTCCTCCTACAGGACCCACCTGGGGCCGGAGAGGCAGGTGGGAGGTCAGGTGATGGGAGCTGAGCAGCTCAGGGCCAGCATCCCCTTCTGTCCCCACACCTGCCCACCACCACCCCGCTCCCCGCCCGGGTCCATCCTTTTATTCTGGGGAACACCGGTGGCCCCCAGCCCTGCTCTTGGCTTACTTCCTCCCCCTCCACCCACTGTCTTCTCACTGCCCTGTGTGCTGGGGTCAGGGAGGGCATGACTTGGGCACCAGGGTTGCTCAGTGAAAGTTGACATTTTAAACTGACCAGTCTGCAAGGGCCAGGAGTGATTCCAGGGGTCTCTCTCTCTCTGTCACTCTCTCTCTCTCTCTCTCTCTCTGTCTCTCTCACTCTCTGTCACTCTTTTCTGCTCTCAGTAAGGATGGTCTGGACAGACAGCACCCGGCACTTGACAGGGTGCCTGGCACAGAATGGGGACCAATTACTACTCATTTCCCTGTGTAGGCCTAGCACTGTTTTAAGCCCTGGAGATTCCAAAGTAAGTCCATGCACAGGCTCCTGCCCCTCAGGGATGCCTCTTCCGGCGGGAAATCACTGTGTGAAGGCCGCTGCTCAGAGGAGCCAGCCTCTGGATACTTCGGGGCCCCAGTGGAGCCCTTCCTCCCTGCCAGCTACAGCTTCCGAGCCCCTGGGCAGCTGCTAACAACCCTGAGAGCAGAGATGGCAGACAAGGACACAGGCTAGTCTATGAGCACCTCTGAGGGCCCGGCCCTGGGCGGCGCCGGGGGCAGGAGAGGCCAGAGAGAACATGCCCCACCCTTTATTACCAGGGAGGCTGTGGGCTGCAGGTAAAGGGCACCCAGGTAATCAGGGAGGTTTCCCGGGCTCAAGAGAGCCAAACAACAATCCATGAGATCAGTCCAATCAGAGACCCACCAGCGGCAAAGTGCCTCGTACCTCTGCTCTGCCATGGAAGGCATCCCCTCAGCGGTGCCTCTGGGGCCCTGTGTCCCCTCACTGTGGCCTTGCTGGGCCACAGAGGAAGCCACCTCATTGTTTGACTGGGGCAGGGAACAGGCTCCCCACCTGCTGGGGTCTGACCCACCCCACAGCCTCCCCGGGCCTGCTGTGCTTGGCCCCACTGGGGCCTGTGGTCAGCGGCTACGCGGTCTCTACTCACGCTCCGTCCCCATACACCTTGATGGTGTTGACACAGTTCTTGGCCCAGCCCTGACCCTGAAGGAAGGGACACTTGCCCTTGAACTCCAGGCACTGGCCAGTGAAGTTGCAGCCCTCGAAGATTTCTAGGCGGAAATGTTCCCCGTGCTGCGGGCCCCAGCGAGGGTGGAGGAAGGAAAGAAGGCCAACAGCACGGAGTCTCCCTCCTCGTGAACAGAAGCGCATGTGGACCGGAACTCAGAGCCGCCGGGGGCTCTGGGCACCCAGGAGTTCCTGGGCTGGGGCCTGTGAGCGCCCCCGCCCAACCCACGCACTCCAACCCAGCACTTCTGCTTGTCCTCGCACACAAGCTTTGGTTGGATGAAAGGGGCCTGTTACTTCAAAAAGCCGCAGCGCTCCTGAACCAGCCCAATCTCCTTCTTCAACGAGAGGACCTGAGGTGCAGAGCAAGAGGACACTGGCCATGCTCTGACCAGGGCCGAGGGCACTGGGCTCCCTCCTGAAGCTGGGGCTAGGAGCTCCTGCCCCAGCCACACGGACACATTACTCTGTCCCTAACAGCTGCCCCTCCCCGCCACAGGCACGCCTTTACACGATAATAGTTTACAATCTGTAATAGGACCTTTTATTAAAACATGAAGCCAGAAGTCTAAAACAAATAGAGGTCTCGTTTTCTGAAATGCTCGCTGGTTCCCTGGGATGAGGACACAGATCTCCCTGTAAGATGCCCCATGTTTCCGAAAGACAGACGCTGGCCAGCGCCAGCCAGCTCCCGACTGGCTGCGGCGCCAGCAGGGACTGGGTCTGCAGCATGGCCGGCCCCACGGACAGCGCTCAGGAGAAGGGCGTTCAAAGCTACCTAGGGTGTTTGTCATATAAATAGCATTAAGATCCAGGGCTACCATGCGAATTCTTTTTTCCAAATGTCCGTGGCCTGGAGGAAACACTAAGAAAGCACTCTTACAATGAGAGGTGGCAAAGGCCAGCTAATTTTGCAACTCGTGTAGAAAAGAGAGGGGGTCCTGTACAGGAGGCCCCTTCCCCGGGGTTCCTCAGGTGTTCACTAGCACCCCTGGCTGTACGTGCAGGGAAGGGTCCCCCTGCAGACACACGGCGGATTCTCACCCCGGTCTCAAGAATCAGTCATTTCCCACCCGACCGTCCAGAGCTCACTTGTGACGTGGGAGAATCCTAAGGAACAGGAAAGCCGGGTCCTCAAACCCCACTGAGGGGACAACTAAACATACACAGTCTTTCGCCATGGGGAGCGACACCCCTCCTTTCTCTCCCTACACACACGGGGCCACACTGTGCGCGGCAGCCACCTGCTGGCTCCTGCTCCCGAATCCCCGCTGACTGGCCAGTGACAGAGCTTCTTCCATCAGCTTCTCCACGACTGAGCATCGAAGGGCCCTGAAAAATGCTGCCAGATGACCTGCCTGGGTGGACACACCAGGCCCAAATCAGCCTTACTTTATAGCCAAGTGCTCCCCCATCTGGTTGCAAAACCAAGCTTCTAGTGTTTCCAACAGCATTTTTCGTGGAAAATGCAGCAAGATGTTGAGATCCGAAATTTAAAGTGGTTGCATAATACATGCCTGAAAGGACAGGCAATAAAAAGGCCCAGGGGCTTGCCAGCTGGGTCCCCACGCCATCCTACAGGAGTGGCTGGGTCTGAGTGGGGCATCTCTCCATCTTAACGATCCCACAGCCCCGTCAGATCTTAAGGCTGGGAGGGCCGTGCTCTCTGACTACTTGCCCCATGTCTGACCAGGCCTGCCTCTCGGTCACTCCAGCAGGAAGCACCCCAGGAAGAGTGGCTCACTCACCATTCCCACAGGACGACAGGAGCCCATGTGGTCATGGTGGCCATTCCAGCGGGAGAAGTCGGGATAGTTGCCGTGCTCCAGGACGAACTGCTGGCCCTGGAAGTCAGGGTGGTAGAAGCAGACCCAGGCTCCGCTCTCCACACGGATGGAGCTCACCCGGTTCAGCAAGCCTTGGTCCTGGAAGTTGTCACAATCCCCAAAGACCTCCAGCTCCCTCCCCGTGAAGCGTTTGCCCTTATACAGAGTGATCTAGAAAGGTCGGGTTGGAGGGCGCAGGGTCACAGGCGTCTGTCTGCTAAGTTTGGGAGCAGATACCCTCGACTGAACCCTGACTCCTGGGCCACTGAAGCCCAGACCTGCTGCACACAGTAGGTGCTCCACACTGCTGACTGGGCAAAGGAATGGGGTCAAACCCAGCGTCCAGCCCACCCCATGCCAGGAACAGACAAAGTCCAGAGTGTACATGGGGTCAGGGACTTACTATTTGTCAAGGAGCCCAATTGAAAACAGACTCTTTCCAAACTCCTACTGCGTTTTTTTTTAAAACTCAATTTTTGTTTATTGATGAAACATAACATCAAGGAAATGTTTTCAAGAGACAATACTTCACTGCAAGCCAGCATCAAGCGTACAGAAAGTCAGGTCCCGGGATCGACCCGTCAACTGGAGACTGAATCCCGTGGCGCCGGGTCAGGGTCTGGCCCAGGGTTAACGGCTCAAAATGGCTTTTTCGGTGACACGTCCCTTTGCTTTGGGTGACAGGTGTGTGTCAGGGATGGAGTTTTAACAACTCAGTGACCAGTTCAGACACAGTGTCCTCTGGCGATGCAACACTGATGGGTTTTCCGCATCCCCAAACTAAGAAACAGGAACCACATCAACCCCAAAACTCACTTTCTGCCAAGGAACCTAAAATTCCAAACCTTCAGTGATTCTTTGGGTTTCAAGAATTAGGCTCCGAGAAGGGCCCTGGCAAAGTACAAGCGACGTTGCCTGGGACCCAGCAACTGCTGTAGTCATGAGTGCAGTCACTGATGGTGGCACTGCCGGTCCGGGCCCCTGGAGTTGGCGAGCCCACAGGGATGCATGCAGGTGGGGAAGCCGGGAGAGCCAGGGCACAACTTCCCTTCCCTCTGCTGACATCGAGCTGCTCCTCAGGCCACAGGGGTGGGTGCGCGGACCACGAGGGACGTGGGCTCTTGGGGTTGCTTGTTACCGAAGCCTAACCTAGCTCATGCAGGCTGATACACTAAGCTTGCATGTAGCCCTTGGAGACCAAAGTTTGTACCACATGAGCTAGAATGGGGAGCTATAGGGCGGGGAGAGAACCAAATTTGTCACCTTCCTGCATAAAACAGGTCGGGTCAAGGGCCCTAAGATATCCAGGAAGGGCTGACTGCTCAACCACAGGATTCAAAGCGCCCTCAAATCTCAACATTTTGCAGAGAACCAGCCCCTTGCTCCTGTCTTGAGGGGGTAGGGCCCCAGAGCCAGTGCCGGAGGAGTCAGGGGAGGGGTACCTTCCAGCAGGAGAGAGGCTGTCAGCCAGGCCTAGGCCGTCAGTTTTCAGAAATTTAGTCAGCTTTGCTTGGGTTTGTCAGACGCAAAGGGCGCGTCAAGCAGTATTCCCTCACCTCATTCTGAGAACAGAGAGCAATGCGAGCGGTATGTCTCCCATTGAGAGACCTCCGCCGTTACCTTCAGGTCGCACTCACCTTCCCAGAGCACTGCGCCATGGTGGCCTGCCCACCCCACGCGCTCGCCCCCAGATATAGCGGGTGGCGTCCTGCTAGGTCAGCGCCCCCAGACAAAAGATTTGCTTGGCCGGCACGTTAGTGCTGTCTGGCGTGTAAGCTGGCGAGGGGCCACCCAGCCAGTGGGACTGAACCGAGTCCCAGTGGGACACAGTGCCCTGAGTCCTGGCCGGGGTCTGTCTGGCGTTCACGGAGGTCACTGTGCCTGGCGAGCCCCAGCCAACCCCCAAGGCCTCCTCTCTCTGACCCCAGCACACCATTGCCCCTGCCGAGTCAGGACCACGCACTGGGGCTGGGGGCACGCTTCCGCTCTGTCCTTGAGGGGAGGTCTCTAGTCCTTTAGTGCTGCCCCTCACCCTCCCTCCTTCTCACAAAACCTGCCCTGAACCCCCACTTCCTTTCCCACCCCGTTACTCTGAGGACAAAGAAGACAGCCCTTCACGGCCACCCCTGCCTGCTGCTCTAGTCTTAGCTTCCAGCCCCGCCTTCAACTTTCTGCTCCAACAGCCCCAACCCCTGGCTGGCCCCAGTCTCTTGCCAGGTCCCTCACCTCCAGGCCTGCTCCTGCTGTCTTGCTCCCCTGGAAGCCACCCCTCGCCCCCACTCCCCTTCCCCAGGGGAAATCAATGCTCACCCGAGATCCATCGTTAGCGGTCACCTACCCTGACCTGAGCTGCCTCGCTGCTGAGCCGCAGTGCTGTGCACCCAGACCACCCTGGGTGACGAGGACGGGTCCACAGAAACATACAGGTCCACTCCAGCTGAGCCTGTCTCAGGGCACGGAAGTTCTTGGCACATAACAGAGACTCAAAGATTGTTTGTGGGGTGAACAGTCAACACTGAGGCCACACGATGTGCAGCCCCAAGCTGTTGGGAATATGAGCTGTGTACACATAAAACAATGATTCCAGTGGTTAGCTGAGGCAGCGCCCAGCTCTGAGATCAAAGGAGCGCGTGCACATCTGCACAAGGGTGACCCCAGGGGTTTTCACAGAAGGGGGGGCAGTGGGTCCTGGTGGATGGGAAGGAAGAGGGACTGTGGGGGAGCTGTCTGAGCTGCTCTCAGGAAAGTATATTTTTATCACCATTTCACAGATGAAACACTTCAGGGATAGGAAAAGGAGGTCATGCAATTCTTGGGGCACAGAAGTGACCTCACCCCTGCTCTGGGAGGCTGTCCAAGGAAGACAGGACATATACTGGGACCTGCATGTCACCCTGGCACCCGAGGACAGGCCTCCCAGGGGTCCTGGCCAGGCTGCTGCTCCCATGGCATCCACACCCGCCCAACCACACATCCCAACGTTTGCCTCTGGACACAGGCATTTCAAGGAAATAGAATTAAAACCAAAATCTCCCAACCCAGAAAGCCTGTCCATAAAGGTAGAAGAGAAAGCAAACCGTTGTATTACCGAAGTAGCCTTAAACCAGAATGTGATGTGCATCCCAGGCAAACTGCTACAGAGGCCACAAAGACAAAGAGATCTCAGCCCCCTCTACAGTCAGGCAGGTGCGACGCATCATATCCGCGTTCTCAAGGTGAAAGTGCTGATTTTCTTGTGGCTTTATGTTGGGAGATGGACCGCGCAATTCAGAGTAAGGTGACAGCTAAAGTTAAGCCCCTCTCCTCCCAGGACGCTGGGAAGTGGGGCATTCCCTTCCTTGATGATTTGTTTCAAAGAGACGGCTCTCAGCTCCTGGAGGGAAGATTTCCCCGTTGTTAGACTGGGAAAAGGCCAACTGCGCTATTAAAAAGATGCACATACACGTGAAAAGGACAGAGAAAGAAATTCTGGAAGACAAAGGAGGGGCAGTCTCTTTCCTTATTTTCAACTGGGAAAATTAAGCCTCTGAACTATTACTTTGTTCTTTTTCTTGGTACACTCTTTCCTAGAGCACTTTTAGGTTCACAGCAGAATTGAGCTAAACGTGTGTCAAGTTCCCATACTAGAAACTTCAGTGCATATTAAACCCAAGCGAAGAGTATTGTGTGTTTATGGGTGAAGCTGTGGGACAGCCCCTTGCTGCGTGTCGCAGGACATGGTGTCCCTGGGCCCTGCCCACTAAAGGCCTGCCCTCCATCATTCCGAGAGATGGAAACACCCTCAAATGTCCAAATGCTCCCCAAGGGCCAATCCAGGCCCCTTTGGGGTCTGAGTGAAATTGCTGGGTGAAGCCTGGGCTCACCTTCAACTCCATTGGAGTTCTCAGGGGCTCTCCAATGGGCACTGCTGACCCGCTGAGGCACCCAAGGTGGACTTGCGTCCAGCTGCTCAACATCTGTACATACACTGTCATTGACTTTGCTCTGATGTAAACTGCTCGTTCATATCCTTTGCCCATTTATTCTGCGTCTTTCCTTATTGATGTCTGTGTGCGTGTGTTAATTTGTTACCTGTTCCTTTGTTTTTCTGTGTTAACCTGTTATCTGTTCCGTGTGTGTGTGTGTGTGTGTGTGTTAATCTGTTACCTGTTCCTTTGCTATGTGTATGCATTGTAAAGACCTTTTCTCAGTTTGGCTTGGACTACTGGCCTGAACCCATTCTTGTTAGCTTCTTGGATTGGGCATTTCCAGGCACATGACTAGTGTGGGGCTCGGTACCCCCTCCAAACTGGGGCTTGTTGTGTTTAACTCCAACAGCTGGCACAGGGTGAATACTGGGTTGGACATCTCTTTAAATGAGAGGGTGTATGAGCCCACTGGCTAGATGCTAATGGTGCCCTCAGGGTAACTTGTGAACTGTTGGTGGCCAATTACCCATAAGGTGAGGATGGCAGGACTCGCTCTAGCTCTGGAGCTCATAGGGCCCGGAAGCTTAAGAGAAAGATGCAACCCAATAGCCCCACAGAGCTGGGATCTGTGGAAACAGAGAAACGACTTGAGAGGGTTAACATGCAGAGTACCCAGCAGAGGGGTACACCACAGTGTCAGGTTCCCCTCACTTTCCGAGGAAGCCCCCCACTTTCAGATATCAATGAACCCGAAACCTGAGAAGGATTCTCAGAAGGCGAGGGCAGAAAATACGGAAGACCTGACAGGAGAGATCTGGGACGGCGAAGCAGATAAACACGGCGCCTGCTCCTTTCCATGAACACATTAAAATTACAACTAAATTATAGAACAATCAACCTGGAGACCATCTGAAGTCTGACTGAACAGAAGTTTTATAATTAAGGGTATAAAGAAAAAGCCACATCGAGCCTGGTAGGAGGGACGGAGATGCAACCCAGAATGATCCTAAACCTGTGTGTGGAGGTTTAAACTCGGTTGCGGAGGTTCTCCTGGAGAAGTGAAGGACCCCAACCCCACTCCAGACTCATTCTGAGGATTGAAGGACCCCTGCCCAGAGTACTGGTGCTGGGAAGAGGAGCCCCCACACATCTGGCTGAAAAAATTGAAGATTCCAACCATCTGGGTGGGACGCAAGGCTGCAGGAGACCCAGATCTGCTCTTAAACGGCCGCGCGCAGACTCCCTAGCTCACAGGCACTCACCTGGGGCTCCAGCGCCGAGGCGGCGACTCCGGGGGCGTCAGAAGCATCCGAGGAGCAGACTGAGGTGTGTGGCTTCGAGGCCGGAGGACAGCCGGCGTTTTCCCTGTGAGGTCCTCTGCCCACACGGCCAGCCCGCGAGCGCCATCTTGAATGGGAGCCCTGCTGATTCACGGGGATGCCGCCCACCCAATTCCCCCAAAGCCAGAGGCACTTTCTGGTGAGCAGCCAGCCCTGCCTGCATTGCACACTTGCATTGCACTTCTTTGAAAACTACCAGAGTCTGTGGGTCCCAGGCAGGCAACAACTAGCCTCGGTGTGCTCTGAGAGTTTCGCTGAGTAATTCCAGGCTCAGCACTGGCACCAAACCAGAATCTACATTAACCTGGTGACCACAGCT